CAATCCTTGATACAATTACATTTTTACATTTAAATCTATAGGGATTCAGTGTTTTCACAAAGAGACAATTGAAGATCACTGATGATTTACGGATGAATTCAATTGAATGCCGTCAGATTTGGGCAACAATTGGGCGATTAACATTTTGGCGGTCAACCGGATTTACTTCACAGATGCTCGCACGTGCGACAACTCAATTCCCGCTGGCGGAATGCCAGAAAACTCTTTAGATGCTTAATTAATCGCTTTTATTCATTATATTCGCGCATTTTATGCACACCTCATGTGAGCAATCAATCAATTAGCGACCGAATGGATAAACGTCGGCACGCGTTTCGCATCACACCAAATGCGGCAACAGATACTCTGATGCAGCACCCTGACTTACTTTTAATTCAATAAACAATTCGAGAAATGCGCCAAAAGTGGCGACGCGCTAGAAAATTTCCAATGCTTTTGATTCTTTTACTCTACAATCATAATTAACATCAAATAGATGACTTTAAACTCAAATAAAACAAAATAAAAGAAACTGATTAAAATATAAAACAAATGAAATAATGTTGCGCATGCGCAGTACTTGATACACAATTAAAATTAAATTTTTAGAATGTAAAAATAATTAAAATGTTAAATATAATTTAAATGCAACTAACTGAAGTATCTATAGATTTACTAGAGACAAAACTCTAAGCTGTAGAAAGAAAAAATGTATTATTGGGTGAGGGTCGTCGATACCGACCTTCGCATCTATCACTCATCCATGCGTTAATTTATTTTCATTTATTTTCAATTCCAGCGGCGATTATTTCGTGCACGGCGATAAATATTGCACACGATTCGCGCAGCGTTAATTGCTCGTCAATACACATATTACCGAACGAAATCCCGAACGCGTGATTATCGTAATAATTTAATAACATCGATGTCGATGATGTGAGAAGAGCGCTCTCGCACTCCATTGAGATTATTATGATTATTATGATTACGAACGCATCAATACAAATACGAATTAAATCTCAAAACGTTGTAGAAAAAAACATGCGCGTCGATTTAGTTCACTCCGTTTGTTTATTTATGTTTTTATTTATTTATATAATAAATCTCGTGATATAATGTGATGTTGCTGTAATTCGTCGAATTCTAATTAATGATGGCAATACTCGTACACAAGAATGACATGAAACGTGTCGCAAATCAAAGGATTGAACAAATTTCGAAATTCAAATTCGCGCAAAAGCACAAAATTGCGGGCTAAAACACGATTTCCATGTGTGGAAAAATGCGTGCGCCAAACAATACTTCTTGTAACAGTTAAGACACATCATCGGTTATGGTAAATGTTTATTTTATTGATTGGCGCGTGATTTATGCAAAGGCAGCCGAGCATTTGAATGCATTAATGCACATTCATTTCCATCTCGTTGCGAGCGGATTGCGATTTCATTCACGAAAAACGAACGCGTCGACGAACAAAAAGATAGGCCGACTTTTACTCGCTACCATTATGATCTTATGAAATCGAACGTTATGGGCATTAAAAGAGCGCTTTGCGTTTTATTTCATTCATTCATTCCCAAGCGCGTAGATATGGGCGCGCATGAGTTGCGATTTGTAATAGATCTTATTGAATTTTAACGCACAAGTGGATCTTTGATATGCAAATATTTGCATGGACAAATACGTTGATTTCGTCGTAAAATTGATTTTACAAATGATTTCATTCAAATGTACACATGCGCAGCTACTAAACTTAATATAATTAGTCAACGCAAATATTTGTAAGTGTATATTTATTGATATGCACGTAATGTATCCGATTAGTTGCAAAAATAAGGTTTATGGACATGTAAAGTAGAAGTATTACTTCATACTAATTAATAATAAACGTATTATGCTGTAGTACGGGTGGTTCAGTGATTAATATCAAGACATTACATGAATATATTTGCTTCATTAACAATTTTGGTGGTCCACTATTGCGTTGAAAACCCATATTTCATTTATGTAGTAATATTTGAAATGCAAAATTAATTTGTCTGTTTGTTCCCTTTTATTGTCTAAACTACTCAACCAATTTGATTGATATTTTCTATAAATATTGATTACTCCTTGGAGAAAGACATAGGATTATTTTTGTTAGAAAAATTAAATGTTAACATAGTTAAATATGAGATGAAAGTGTAAATAGCAATTCTATGATAGTTATAGTTATTAATTCAAACATAGATGGCACTTCTTTGAATTAAATAAACATTTTATCTCATGAGACGCGCATGCGTAGTAGCTCAATAATTTCTTAGTGTGTAGTGCAATCATAACACGTTTATTTACAAAAACAATGGGAAAATATGACCGAAGCTGACGTTAAAAGACAAAAAAGTGACAAAACGGCAATTTTGCTTCTCCTATTTTTCCTCGTTAGTAAATTTAATTAATATTTAACAACTTTAAGTAGTTCTTTCAGCAGTGCTAATTTTATGTTAATTACAAAATATTTAAGTTCCAAAAAGCGCCAATTTCAGTAACTACTATTTGTAATTTAACTCTGGCGGTAGAAAAGTAGAAGTAAAGTACCTTAACATTTAAACTTTAATATTTTTAAGTATTTAACTATTGCAGATCTTTTTCGTCTGCGAAGGCCTCGAAAAACCTCATAATCCTCGAAACTCATCAAAATTTAGTAAATGTGGCAATAATTAATTAGGTATCGTTACCGCGACGCGCGTTCGTCTCTCCTTGCTCAGCTCCGGTGTGACCAAACAATTAGCATCGTTATTTCGATTGCACGAAATGAACAAATTTGCGCAACGACACAATGCGCTCGCAAGCACGAATTAATTTAATTCCTAATGTGGCGCGTCGCGAGAAGAGCAGCGCGTACTCGGAACAACTTTCAAAATTAACACACGCCGAAGAGCGGATGTCAACTCGCCGCCTGTTATTGTCGCATTCGCGGCATTCGAGTATGGAAATCGCCATTATGACAACATTTCATAATTCGTTTAGCATTTTGCGGCATAATCGCCATAATAATAAAACCGAATATTCTGCTGCGCCATTAGATATTTGCATACATGCGGTGCGCATAGTTCACATAGGCTCAAAAACGCACGCATCAACAATTAACGATGCAGTAAATGCGCCGCGGTGAGCGCCGCGAAGGAAAAAGAGGAAAAACGTGCGCAAAAAGGATTGATGTCATCCATTCAGCGATTAGTTAACGGCTCACCGAAGCAGACCTCACGCACGATCACCACCTACAAATATTATTGCATTCATTTTGCACAAGCAGGAAATACAAAAAGACGATTTCAAAGAATCGAAAATCGTAAAATTTGAATTTTAGTGCCGTGATCGCAGTGAGCGTGAAGTAATTCTGTGCGCTGACGATGAATTTCAAACGACGGCGCGCGATCAATGTGACATAATCGCGACGTTGTTGACGAATGAATTGACTGCTTGTCAAACGGTGAAGACGATGAAGAGAATAAGCGTCGCCACCAAATCGACAACAACGCATCATTAACTTTGATATTTACGACAATCGTCGCACGAACGCCCGATTGCAACACGTTTATGGAGCTTTATAAAGTTAATAAAATTTTACGTGCCTCCAAAATGTCTTGTAACACAATGATCTTTACGCATTACCGACAATTATTTGTAAGTTTAATACGCAAACTTTAATTTGACATGCGTTTAAAGGAGGTGAAGTCTAATAGAACGTAAAAAAATCAAAATATAAGAAGCAAAAAACACTGTACATCACAGTCCATCAATTTTCAGGAAATTAAACAGTAACTAGCAAGCGTTTTGTACAAATTTTGATCGCAAAAATAAAAAAATCGGAATTATTAAATGTTGGCACATCACCAGTGGTGTAGCTAAAATATAGCAACAAATATGTAGAAACTTTTAATTTTTAAATTTTCCAAATGTGTATAGTAAACTCCACCAGAATCATCAATATTAAATATAAACACTTCAATGGTCAAAAATGATTTGAGCGTAAGAAATTCACAAAAAACATTAAAACCTTAACTGATCAATATTATCGCCAGTTATTTTTCATCACGCGACTGAAGCGGCCATTTACTTCACTCTTCATCGCTTATATCTTGACCATTTTTAGGCAGTTATGTAATATAAATATTTTCTGATGTTTCCAAAACTGATCTTTCCAGATGATGTGGGCGAAAGTAATGATTTGCATTCGTTTTAATACATTTTTGTATATGTACAAACGATAAGTTAGAATCAAACGTGCCATATGAAATAAATACGTATAAAAGGAGAAAGTACGAATGTGCAAACGTACACGAAGAAATGTTACTTTCGTTGTCTCATCCGCTTACCGCGTACCGAGATGCGGGAGATGCAAAAAAATTCACTCGCGATCCGTTTGACCTTAGCGACGCCGACGACAAAAACGAAGACATACCACCAAAGAGAAATTAATCACACATTTTATTCCTACGTGCAAAACGTATCTGCTGATCGACGATAAACCGCCAAATTTTTCTTTTCATTTAATTACATTAACACAATCGTGTTACCTAATCTCATTTGTATTACTCTATTATCAATTAAGGCGTTGATAAGATAATAAAAAATGAATTGAGTACACATTTTGTATTTATAACCGCTAATCATGAGTCTCAATCATGCGCCATTTCTATTAATAGACGAAAACGAGAGCAAAACTTCAATATTTCACAAAACTTTTACAATATACGTAATTCATCGAAGGTCCACGGCGCAAATGTAATTAAAAGTGTAATCTGTGTCCTGATGTGTCATTGATGTAGTTTTTATCAGTCGATTTTATTTATTATTTTTGCGAAATCTGCAACGGATTCGGACGGATTTCAAGTAAATCCTTGCGATAAACAATAGGATTATCACGATTTTTATTACTGGGAATAATCTTATAATTTATTGGTTTAGCTACTACGCTCGATAAACTTTTTTTATGTCGTATCTCATCGATAAATTTGTTGCCGCACACGGTGGATCAGTTATTCAACCAGCAAACTTTAAGACTAATATACATCCAGCATAAATAAAAAGAATTTGATTATAAATCGCGCAAAATGCATAAACTATTAAGTGTGTTGCTTCTTTGTACCATTTTCGGTAAAGTTGTGTTAGACACAGTTGTTTATAATGATTGCGGTGAGTTTGATTGTTATTTGAAGAGTTCATCAAAGTATTATTGATATAATTATTTTTAGGTTCAGAGTACAACTTAAATGACGTAGACATTGAAGGATGCAACAAGACTAGTTGCATTTTGCCGAAAGGAAAGTCCGCCAATATTAATATCAAATTATACGGACGAAGTGAGTAAAAATTTTAAAATGTTGTTTGACTATAGGCAACCATTTATGCGGGTTTAAAGCGAAAATAGATTTTATGCACTTACTTGTTTGATGTTAATTGCTTCTTCTCTTATTATGTAGGTCCGGACAGTCACACGCTTACTCAAAAAGTATTCCTGATCTTTAACACCATTAACGTCCCGCTGACTGTGATTCCTGGAGATTTGTGTGCATCTCAAATTGAGTGTCCTGTACGTGGCACGGCTAACGCAAGTTTTTCGGCACTCATGGACTTTTCTACTTTACCTAATGTTCAAGTAAGTAAATAAATTACTAATTATTAAATAAAACCAACTAAATAACACATATCAATTTTTTGTTGTAGTCGGCAGTTACTTTACACTGGAGAATTTTCAACGAGAATAAAGAGCAAATCATGTGTTTCAAAGCGAATGCCAAATACGAAAACCCCAAAACCAACTAACTTAAGTGCTATTTAGCAACAAGTACAATTGTGAAGTCAATCTCATTTATTAGTATTAATTGTAAATTAATTTAAGATAATTATTGAAAATTTTAACTCAAACTTAAATGTAAGTTTAGTTGTAACTAAACTACAACTAAAATTACAATAAATATTTAAACTTTTAACTTAAAAGTGGGCAATTCATGCAGCGCCTGAAATTATGTTCTTCACTTTTATGTTGAATTGTCTGCAATCAAACAAATCCCAAAAAAATCTCGCAATTTATAGAAGGAATTAAAAAATGCAAACTTACTTTGATGTGATCTGTTCACCTGGAATATGGAATGGGTTGCATACAGTGTCGGCGTAAATGGAATGCAATTTTCTAAACATCTGCAGAAGAAAACAATAATTATTTAATAAAACGACATGACCTATAAAAACAAGTATTAAACACTGAAATACTTACTGATTTAATCTCATTATCCCTCAAAGCTGTGTTTATTGAATCAACAACAATCACAAACTTAATTTTTGTGTTTGTAACATATCCATAACTGAAAAATATTATTATTTTATAACGGATTTAACAAAATATACGTTACAACTTACATTTTATGAGCTTCAAGTGAATAAAGACTGCCTAAGTACAATTCTCGATGATCAGAATTTTTGTTGTTCCATTAAGTTTCTCCTCAATGATATCCAAAGATGACAAAACTTTGTACTGAAGATTAAGTTCTTCTTCCGGTTTCGTACAGGTGAAATATTTAGGTGCATTCTGTAATTATCAATAACCAAATGAATGATTGTTGAAAACAAGTGGTTACTTTCAAGCCCGAGGTCAAAGTCTTAGGTTATGACACAAAGTAAAAGAATTTACGTCGTAAAACTTGTGAAAACACGTAAAATATCTCAACATTTATCTCTGCGAGTCTTCAAAACTACTTTAAATCATGGAGGTACATATTTTAAATTAATATTACTCACGTCTTTGCCAATAATCGCCACGCAAATAGCCATCGTATACGAAAACTTCAATGCTTTTAAACTAACCTCCAAATCAAAACAAAATATTTTTTAGGATCACGATGAACCCAATCAAGAAAATGCTGAATTATTGCCACTGCGGTCCAGGGAATGCCTGGAGCGCTCTTATGTGCGATTCGTAAACACCACAAATAGAACCATAGAGATTATCTGGTTGAACTATACCGGGCAACGTATCAGATATCAACTAATTGGAGCCAGATCTTATGCAAACATAGACACATTCAAAACGCATCCTTGGATTGCCCAGGATGTGCTCACAAAGGATCGAATGTGGTTAGAGCGCCAGTATGTTTATCAACCACAAACAACCAGGGAACACTTAAATAATGCAAACCCCAATATTGTGTACCCCATACCCCCGCCGGAAGTCCGAAAAGTCGTGGCAATAACGCTGCCGATGCTCACATTGCGATACCATGCGTTATTAACAATCCGGAATTTATTCGCGCAACCGGAAGCAGTAGACAACTTGGAACTACCCAGAGATTTAAAGGAGGATCTAAAGAAAGTGATAATTTTACGTAATCGCCGACTGGCGACTTCAGCATTAACCGTAGCAGCGTGATAGCATGTTTTTCTACTATTAATTTTAAGTTAGTTTTTGGGCGCGCATGTGTTGAGTTCAAAAAATCAATTTTACTATTTGAAATAGTCGGTACATAATGAAACAGACACATCGATTGAGCATATTATTTTGTGTTACAAAAGTTTTACAAACGTACTCGTTCGCTCGCTCTCAAAAATTCCACCTCCCCCGACCCTCTCACGCTAGTAGTAGTCATCCATAATCCATACGATGATTAAATAAAGAAAACAATGTTAATCAAAGCAAAGTATACGATGGAATAAATACATCTTGATAGTTTTTTCACTTCAATTTGTTTGTTTTCGTGGATGATTACATTGACTCTTGTTTTTCATGTGTGTGTGTTTGTGTGTTTAAGAAGAATGTGTAACGTACGATAAGCGTTTGCGAATTTAGTTTTGGGACACGTCTGAACGAAATTTGTAGAATGTGCTATGTACATTGTTAAAATTTTCACGATCTCACGATGACATCGACGTAATAAGGCCGAAAAATTTATGTGTTGTCATTCAATCAACACACCGTTACGTTCGTGTGTCGCTGGCTTGCCAAAAACGATTCAATACTTGTGTGTGTGTGTGTGTAATGTGTGTACAAAGTCTTAATGAAAATAAGTCGCAATCGTTCGCGCATTTACACAATCAACGCCCCCTCATTCCCGCTGCCCGCACATCTCAAGTAAGCCATCGCCTCTTAGTAAAAATAATGTACACCGTAAAAACATTTATATACATGCAAGTGTTCTGCGTGTGAGAGCTGCTCTGCTTCCTCCACTCGAACTAGAAACAAAACTAAAACAACGAAGCCGTACATCCTCTCGTCGCGCGTCATTCGATTAAAGTCATTACAGTTGTGATTTCTCGTCACACACGGAAATTTCTCTTTGCACACACCACTTGCAACTTGTATGCATCGCGTCAATCAATATGTTATTATCAAAATGTTTAACTTTAGTTTCGCGCAGTCGCTGCGCGCAAGCAACCACCGCACGAGGCAGTGAAACTAAAACAATTCTAAAAATAAAGTGACCACTGCGTGTTTCTCGATTGCTGGCGCTCGGGCTTGATTTTCTGTTACCGCTTTTTCTCTTTCTTTCTTTCCTTCCGCCCCCCTGCACACGGTTGAGATCTATACATTATTTAAAACGTAGAACGTAGTCCAATCGAAAAATTAATAGTTACTCCAAAAATTATAGGTATCTTTTATGCTTAATGCGATTAGGTTAATTATGAATAATAACGAAATAAAGGAAATTGGCATTTCTAACTGAAGGCGCAAACGACGATGACGACGACAAGTCGCGCATACGCGCCCAGCTCCGTGGAAATAAACGTGTTAACTAAAATCGGTTGTATCACTGAACGGCGTGTCCGGCTTAGGTTCGGTTCGCGTCGGCGACGTCGCATCACGTCTTCCAGTTGTGGCGCTGCCCGCCTCCGCTCGGCGGCGGTATCATTTCGAGCAGGTACTGCCGCTGGATATCGGCGACGCGCTGCAGATCGGCCATGTTGGGCGTTCCCTTGCCGCTTGCTGCCTGCGCCATCGCCAGCTGATACGGATAGAAGAGCGGATTGAACTGCAGCATATGCGCTGCGTTTGGTCCACCAGCTTGCAATGCTAAACATTCAAATAAATTATTAGTTTACACAAAAATAATTAATTTAATCATACTTTGTAAAAGTTGTCTTTGCAATGCGTGCATGGCGGCAGCACCAAAGGCGTTCTCCGCTTGCTGCGCCGCCGATGATGACTCGGCGCGAGAACTCTTCGATGAATGTGAACTGCGCGCCGGCGGCGGGGTAGGTTGCGCCGAGGGCGGCGCTGGCGGGGTTGCGGCGTGCCGCGAGGCGGGCGTGGGCGTCGCCGCTTTCGGCACAGCCACAACTTCGGGCGTCACCGGCGACGGGGCTGGACTGCTTGATGCAAACACTCCATTCTAAAGAGACAAACACGCGACAATAAGCATCCACATTGAAAATCGCACACAATTATTAATTTACCAGGGACACGGACGACAAACACGGAATATCAGGAAGAGGATATAGGGATAGCTCAGGACATATTCAAAGCAAGACATTCCTAAAATGGAAGGTTAAAAAATGATCCAATGAATAAAGGAATATGTTAATAAAATTTGTTGCTTTTTCAACATACCTGTGCAAGTCTCTGTTCGATTTCTTGTTCCTGCTGCAGTGCTTTGACAAACGCCGTCTTCAGCCGATTCGTGTGCTCTTGCTTGAGCGCCTTCTTCACATTTGTCGTCACACATTGCTCACAAATAACTTTGTGTTCTTTAGCTGTGAAAAATAATAAAAGTCACTATGTTATTTTAACAAAAAAAAAAAAAAGAAATGTATATTACCTTTGCCCTTAATTTTAACTGGCTCCCACTTCCACACAGGCGTAAAGTCCGAATTGCACTGGGAGCAGCTGAAGGGAACAATCGGTGCTTGCGGCTTCGACTCCTTGGTGAGGAAGTCCACGACGTGCTCCAAGCCCACGAGGTAAATAAACTCTGTGTTGCTCGGATTCGGAATAAAGTGCATCTCTGGTGGTGGAGGTTTAGGAGGTGGAATCTTCAACAAAACACAAATTAGCCACTATTAAAGGTTTAAAAATAACAAAACTTACTTGAAGTAATGTCTTCTCTAGTTGTTTCCTTAGTGCTAGTTTAGCTGCCTGTTGCCGCTGTGCAGGCGTTTGATTATCTTCAGCAGGTCGAGATGATCGATCCTAAGAATAAGAAACACACGAATTGAAATTAATTCTCCAGTTTAATCTGGCAAAAATCCAAGTGAAATTGACCAATTGAGCGAACCAAATCAAATATTTGAATAATTTTTGAGATGATTACCTGCTCGGAAATGGGAGGATGTGGCAGTGGACTCGCCACCACATTCTTCCCATCAATGTTAGCCGTCTTCGCAGCACAAAACAAACAAAACATGAACAGATGGCTCAAAAAACCGCTCGAAATCCTGCAGAAAACAATATATAATGCTTTACCTTGCTTGGTTGAGGTGGCGCTGGCGTAATCGTCACCGACGGTGGCAGGTCCTTAACCCCAGGCGGGAACCCACTGCTCCTACCAAGGTTGCGTGACTGCGGCTGCGGCACCGAGAGGTTCGTTCCACGACTGCTCACCGGCGAATTGGATATCGTCGTGCCGTGCAAACCAGGTCTAGACAACTGCGGCGGTTGCTACAATACAATCAATTGCATTTATTAGTTTGTTTTCCTCATAAAATAAAACAAAGTTTAAAAAAATATTGGAAGGTACTTACACCTCGCACACCGCTTGCATTCATCTGTCCCGGCTTGTGCGCGCTGCCAGTGGTAGGGCGCGTGTGCGCCGCCTGCGGCACCTGCGTCTTACTGGGCACCTTCACCGTCGTCGGCGTGATGCTCAGACCACTGGGCAAGCCAGTTGGCGGTAGTGCCGACTGCGGTATGCTCGGCGGCAGGACGGCGACATTCTCCTTCAACGCCTGTGACTGCTTCAGTTTCTTTAGCAGCACCAATTTCATTTCTTCTGCACGAAGTTCTTCACGCAATCTTCGCAAACCTCTTTCCCTAAAATTAAAAAAAAAAATAATAATAAAACATAAAATATAACCAAGAAAATGTAAAATTTACCTCTGACGAAGTTCAGAAGGACTAAGCTCCTTTATAGGAGCAAGTGGCGGCATTTCGCCCTCACTCGAATCACTACTGTAACCACCAGCAGCGTTCCCGTTCGTGCGCGGTTTCTCCTTATCCAGAGACCCGTTGATGAGCACGTCGGGACTCTCCACGTAGCTGCGCTCTAGTCGCGGGCGTAGCACACGTCGATTATTCGTAATCGTCGCGGTAGTCGTGCTCGCACCAAGCCCAATTCCGACACTTCCGCCACCACTTCCTCCACTGCTCGAATTATTCACGTGCAGAGACGGATAACTAGGCTCGATCGTAATCGAAGGCGGTATCGGTATCGTCGGCGGCCGTGGGGCACTAAAAACATCCACAATTGTAATCAAATGCAATCCAATACAAAATTAAACAACAACATACCTAACACTCAAATCGACCACGACCTCATCAACTTCCATCTTCTCCATTGAGAAGAAAATCACCCCTTCGGCGGTTCGGCGTCGTCAATGGGCTGATGGACAAGCTGCAAATCGAAAAACAATAATGTTTAGCGCAATGCATCAATCCCCGCTGGATGACTTCGACTATCAACAAAAATGTAACACGTATGAGTGTAACACGAGTAGATTATTCATGGTCATAGATAAGAGGGCGACATTGCGTTCACAATTGGCAACACCGAAAAAGTAACAGCGATCGTAAACGTGTTTTTAAAAATGTTTCTCTGTGTGTATGTATGTACAAACACATCAGCGACGTTGCCAATCTCGACGCGAAATGAACATCTTTTGCATTTGCATAAATTGTTGAAAAATGCTTCTCTACACATACGCATTTCTCATTTCTCGCATCGATTCGCGCCCAGCTTAGCTTAGTTTAGTCATTCGCAAGAGTGGACGACGAGTTCCGCTAAACGTTTAGCCGAATCACGTCGCCGGAACGCGCGCAAATGATAGAAAGTGGAACAGAACAAAAAGCAACACACGCGCGCGCGCACGCTGGCGCGTACAAAACGCACGAATGCAATAATTGCTGTTAATAGGCCGGTTAAGTGACTCGCGCGCGTTTGCGGTACTCCGCGCAGAACATCCACCGAAAACTAAACTAAATACTAAACAAACGCATCGCCTAGCGCAAATACGGGCGAAATATTTTGTAAACATCGATGCGCATTAATGCGAAATTAATGACAAACAAACAGCACCGCTGCTGCGCTTTATTTTAAAGCGTACGCACACGGTAAAATTCAGTTATTGTAGAAAATTTAAACGCGCACTCGGTCAGATGGACGAGTTGATAAAAGTTAATGACTAATAAACAAATGCAAACGCATTGTTTGCGTTATCGGCTATCAGTACATTCGGGCCGGCGAGGAAAATAATTCGGCTCAATTCAATAAATTATACGCTCGCCACCAAATCGTTATCTTTGACAATATACTATTTACCATATTTGATAAGTGCACATATTAATAAACCCAATAAGCGCACAATGGTGGGGGAATTCATTACAACACATACACACCGAAAAAAACTCTACTACAACACGCCCAATGAACAAGCTCCAAAACAATCACATTGCAAGTTGGAAAATACTAATTATATTTAATAATTAAATTTCCTGTAGTCTTGAGCGTGCGCGCGTTGGCCACCCGGCGGAAATCGAGAAAATCAACTTTTCGCTCTTTCTAACAAAGGCGGAAGCCAACAATGAACACACACACACAACACAACACGAGCACGCCGCATGCGCCCCCGAAATGTACACAATACACACACGCACACATTTACTCTAAACAAAACTACTACATTGTAGAAAATGTGTGATAGATATAAACACGGTAAAATCTATTTTTTCCGACCATCACTCGAGTCTCTGAGAATCGAACGTCCGCGTCTCGCTGTGATTATAAATAATTACGTAACTGTACTTGTGCAATGTGCACCGGCCACGAAAGCGGCACAAAAACGCAATCGCTATCGAGTCGTCGTACACTAGTGTAGTGCTAACGACATCAATTTAATTTCGAATCAAACTACACGACGAAAAAATCTTGTAAATGATGTGCGCGCAATGTAAATGAATACGAAATTTATTTATTTTATAATCTGCGCATGCGTGCTGCGCGCCGATTGTGTTTTGTTTGATCAGACGGATGACACATTGACATTTTAAAATTATAAAAACCTCGATTAATTTATAATATTGTGTTGGAAATTTGTAATATTGCGAAATTTTCGTCTGGAAATAATTTTTCTAGTAAGAAATATATTTATTTGTTTAGTGTGTGCGTGCGCTGGCTGAACGCGCATTTAATTATTTTTTCGACGAATCGGAATAATGTAATGGCTGTTACCGCTGCTGTGTGTCGTCGTCGGCGAGTCGTCCAAGTCAAAGCAGCCAACAAGCAGGCTAGCAACGCGTCCGTCCGTCCAACCCACCTCTTGTTGCTCCCTTTTGATACTCAACTCGATAATCCGCTCACTTCACTTTCTTTAGCGAAATAATCGAATTTCGTTTTTCTTCTTGCACACCTACATTCTCGACACAGCGCGATGGCGACGCGCAAACAATTCGGTATCAATTGTTTCACGTTTTATCATCAGACGACAACGAGCGTCGGCGATCACGCCCGAAAGACACCCGAAAACAATGCGGCGACGAAGACCGGATTAATTACACAAGCAGCAACAAACGCGCTACAAAACGCCGAATTACTCGAGTAATGTTTGGAGTAGTGTTTACGGTTGACGGGAAATTTGTGGGTTTTGTGGTTCATGCTTGATGTCGATGTCCCGCGGTGGTACCGACTGCCGCCGACCCGTTCGACAAGAGATGCTCATTAATAAAACTAACCTATGAGATGTGCGGCTGCGGCGCAGGACGCGCCATCAAACGAAACAAATGAACGTACTGCACGTACACGAACACGTACGATCGGTGCGTTTGGTTTGGTTTCGGTACGAATGCGACCGGTAGCTTGATGAGCGCGAAGCAGCGACGGAGAGGGAAGACGCGCAGCGGAGGTTCACCTGCGTCGCGCTTCCTAATCGCAAGCAACGACACAACGCCAAACATGCTAATCACCATACTGAATTCCTGTTCTGCCAAAGAAACGAAGCCATTTGTAATCGCAAATATCAATGCTTGTGTGTTATCGATAGCGATTGTTTGCTTTGGCCGACCAATGAAAATCCAGCGTGTTATTTTTTCGCTTCTTTCGGAATGTAGGCAAAATCGATACAATTTCGTTTAATTTTCTTATCATTACCTATGATTGTTTCCTGGTGGCGATTACGATTGCACCGCCGGCAGGGCGATTAGCGTGCGATCGTCGGCCGCGGCCGCGTTGACAAATCGATTATCTCGCGTGTACACGTACACATGCATGAGCGCCGGACGGCTCACCACTCACCGCGCACCAACGAACTTTTCAGTTTTCACCAAAAATCCACTCGATAACTATTTCGCCACTTTTGTCGATCGTGACTTTTGTGACGCTGGACGATGCGTTGCGATTCCGACCCGACTACTGGCAGCGTCGCGTCGCGCGATGCACTAATTAAAACACTCCGAGTGAATTTCACCGGTTCAACTTCCGAGCAGCAGCGAAAAAGATGCACACGCGCGCGCCGAAGAGTCCGACTCCGCCGCCGCACTACAGCCACATCACGCACTCCGGCGGCACTCGTTGCTCGCACACGCACCCCGCACGCGGTAATCACACGCGCGTGGTTGTTGGTTTTTTTTATCCGGTGTGCGAATCTCGTGTGCACGACGCGCGCCGCGCACCAGAAAAACCGAAAAACTCGCGCTGCACTCCGGCGGTGGCTAACGAGTGGACCGATATTCAATATGGCGTGCCGTCGCTTCGCTGTGTGCGCCGTGTGTGAGTCGCGGTGCGCCTGTGTTGCCCGGCGGTGTGTTGTGACTGCCTATCGTCTCCGCCACCGCATCGTCTAACCCCATTCTATCCTTCTCTTTCTACTCTAGTAACATTCGCACTGGCCGCGGCCGGGCGTAGATCTTTTCTTGCGCGATTTACGTTTATTCATGCCATTCGTTTGTCGGGTTGAATTAAATGTACACTTATATAATTCCATCTTTGTTCGGCGCGTAGCAGACAAACGAGGCGCACAAATAAATTAATAGGACGTAGGTCCTCACTAAGAAAAACAAAGTTCATTTGCTGATTCTCAACGTAGGCAACTTAGAATACACTTTTTATTTTTATTGCCATTTTTCAAGAATTTGCCACGAATTGCTAAATAATATTCAAAGTAAGTCATAAAAACCCTAGAATTCTGATTAAACTTACGTAAATTAAGTAATTACTTCGTTTTCCGAAATAATTTAGAAAGAAAATATTAAATCCAATGTGTAAATAATGCAATAATTGAATTTTGACTTATAATAAATCAACGAAATTAAAACGTGGTCCTGATAAAGGTGTTATTTGTTTATCAAGAACAGAGAACCATAAAAACCAAAATTGACGAGTCATTCAAATGCATGGAATCAGTTTTATGAAAGTAATTTTAGTAAATGTTTATAAGATTAACAATCTATAACAAAAACATAAAACGATCCTCTTTTGTTTCATTTTAAACAATCACTTCATAGAAAATTTGAATTACACTACCAGAAAGTGAGCTCTATCCGTGTCACAAGGTAATAAATCTATTAATAGTCCATTTAGGTAAATATTTAGATCATTTTAGAATAATATACAATTGCTCAACCAGCACGACCTCCAAAAGATTAAAATGTGTAATAAATAAATTAACAATATCTAAATTTATCTAATTGCCAGCCTATATGAGTTATTAGCCTGTAATCCCTGAGCAACTTGTTCAGGAGAAGTGGAAAACAGCCGAATAGGCAAACTCCAAACCATAGTCTCAATTGGCAACTCAGCAGGCGCTTTCCAATCACTATCCTCTAACTTAGGACCATCTAATTTCGGCGATGTACTTGTTACAAACTCAAAATGCAATCGCCATTTTAAACTAACAAGTTTAGTTTCAAATGCCGGCGTTAAATGCAAAGGAATCGGGAGGATCAATTGTGTGTGTTGTAAACCAAGACACACCTCATGATGCTTACTGAATGTTATGATGCGCGTTTGTTTCGTTTTGTCTTCAATTGTGGTTTCTTCTTCGCATTGAAGTGAAACAGATACCTGTACGCATTTGACAGTTGCGACCGTGAAGTCAAAAGTGCCAATAATATCTTCGCCAAGTTTATATGCGGGTTTAAAGAGACAAAAGCGCGCTACTTTGCCCCAGGTATTGGAAATCATGTAGAAGTTAGGATTACGACGTGCTGTGATGTTCTGTAGAGCTTGCAGTGCAAGATCGAACGGTGTTTCGATTTCCTTTTCCTTTTCACGGACTTCCAGGAAAGGATTCGCCGGGGATAACTCATCTGATGTTTCATTACACAAGCCACCAACATCCATTCCTATGTTGACTGGTAACACCCGAATGGGGACTTTTAGTAATTTTATCGGGCTGTTTACACGCTGCGTGCCAATCGTGATTTTGTAGGAGTATTTTACAAGTTGACCGCGATAAGATGGTGGCGCATCATTAGGAATCTTTTCTCTGTAGATATCTGAAGAATAAAATAAATTAATATATAATATTTACTTATTTAATATAATAACTTACAAGTTTTAGCTTGACCTGGAGACAACCTCAAATCACAAAACAGTATCTTTGGTTTTGTCGCGATTTCCTGCAAACCAGCATCTTGTGTATTCACAGGAAGAGCTGTATCACTGAAAGCCATACTGTCTCCGTCTGGTTTCAGCTTGCTGACTTTACCATCGGTCGTACATTGGCAGTGAATTTGAGCGGAAGCCCATGCCAAACTCTCAAAAGCATCATTGTTACTTTGTGATACTTTGTGTTGTAGTGATTTCGGATGGATAAAACTTATGCTGCATTCTATAGTTTCACCGGAGAGATAGACGGGGCCCTTGAGGAGCTTTGCATTTACTTCGATCATGTTTGTAGCACTTGTAACGCTTGCAACACGCGATTATTTAGATAAAAAAATGTTTACAAATATTAGTGACGTTAACATTTTCGTGTTTCTCACGGCTGACATAAGCGCCTGAAAGTTATGCAACCCACATAACGCAATGGAATTAATTATGAAAACAGGGAAAACTTACTTTTGCAAAGTTTGCTCAATTATTAAAATTTTTAAAGACAATTAAGTTGTTATGAAGTAAATTTAAGTTTTTCCGTTAAAAATTGTAATATTTGTAAGAAATTATGTTTTTCTTTTGTAAAATTCTTATGTTGAGAATGAGAAGTTTTTGGTAACCCGTGTCTTGATGACGTCACAAGCAAAACGTCATCTATTCTAATACCGAAACTGAACGCGAATGTGACCTTTATGAATACTTTCTGTAAGATAGGAACTCCTCTGCTCGAATCGATTTGCGCAGTGGCACACTGGTGGCAGCGGCAGTGGATTTGTTATAATTACGTGCGGAGCGACGAAAGCGCAGTATTCTTGTCTTGTCAATATGTCATCATGTTTGCCTTTGAACGAACTTGAGTTCGCGTCTCCTTCGCACCACTCGCGCTTCCGGACCGTTGTTAGATGCTTCGCCGCGTAGGAAGGCGCACTCCTCCACGGCAGTGATAGTTTAGGTAGCGTGTAGGCAGCAGGGGCAGGAGGATTCTGGAACAACAACGAAACAACGACAAGCACAGGTAAGAAAGAAGTGCGTGTGCCGTACGTGGATGCGTCCCAATTAGTCCCCCATATCCCAGTATTTACCTTAGCAGGTGTCCTAACGGTACACCGATGGGTGCTGCCCGTGCGGTCGTTTATTAAGCGCTAATAAACGCGCATGATGCGTGACTCCCTCGTCGCGCATCGCAAAAGAAACCAACACCACAAAACACTGCGTTAAGTTCAAGTGTTTTCCAGCTAATTCGCCAAATTGAGCGCCTGCGGAGCGCCCTTCGATCCAATCCAATCAATTTGTGCTTCATCAGGATATTGTTTGTATATTGTGTGGCCGTGTGGGCGCTTCATTCTTCCTCATTACTTCTTGTTGGTTGATTGTGTGTCTTATGTTTTTCTGCTCTTCACTTGCAGCGGCTACAATGGAGAGCCAGGGCCCTGATATTTCATTCCTCTTTCAATTTGGTTTAACCAGGGACATTGTCACAGTGCCTCAGTCTTCCCTGAATCTCAAAACTATTAAGGATTTGGCATGTGACTTTATAAACACCAAGGTATGCAATACTTCAACAACCACTTTGATAAATAATTGATTTCAACTGGAAAAAAAATATTATTGTTGCAGATTCCAGACCATGGTATTAATCGTTTAAGTGATAGAATAATTATATTCAAACATGAATACAATTCCAATAATGTATTGCAAATTATCAATGCAGCTACTGATATCGTAGATGAGACACTGGTTGAGATTGTACTCACAGGTAAAAGTAAGTCTTTGGTATTTGTATTTTAAGAGTGGCTCTCGAAAGGATACTTGAAAAACGTTTGTTTTGCATATTTAATATGCCCATTTTTAAAGTTTTCCTTTAAAATACTTAATATGTTTGATATTTCCTTCAGAAACAAAATGCTCTACCATTTTAAATACTAAAAATTAGTGCAATGTATCGGTTATAGTTATATGCAATTTACTGCAATATGTTCTCTTTTTCTCTGGAAAAACCCATTTGTTTAAGTAGAAACACCTAAAATATGCTGCTGTTGATTGATTCACTCGTTTCTAGAACAAAAATCCTAATGATTTGTGAATGCAAACCAAAACAAACATATTTTAACTGTCGATAGTCTCCATTCAAAAACCTTGCTTAAAACTTAAATTTAAAAATTATAAATTACATTTATCTTTACCTCCATAGCTCCACCAACCAGTGCCAGCCCCGATATGGCTATTGTAAAGCCCCATGCTCTCTCCGTACATTCCTACAAGACTCCAACGTTTTGCGACTTCTGCGGCGAGATGCTCTTCGGACTAGTGCGACAGGGTCTGAAGTGTGATGGCTGCGGGCAGAATTATCACAAGCGCTGCGTGGTGAAGGTGCCCAACAATTGCACCTATGTACTGATGGAGGATAAGACGCGACGCCGTTCAGGCCAACTGCAAGTGCCGCGCAGTCCCTCCGGCGGCTCGAATTGCTCAGGGAACTCTTGCAATTCGTCTTCGACGAACAACACCAACGCCACTCAGGATGACAATACTCTGGTAAGAATTACCAACTTCTTTACCGGAATCGATTAATTATACATCGATTCATTTCAACCGTACTTATACTTACTCGAAACGAAACAAAGTATTATATTTATAAATTTTATATATATTGGTGAAGGTATATAGATCTTAACTTTTTATGACATTTTACTTTTACAATGGATCAAATTTACGAAATCTCTTATACTTACGAATTTTATACAACAACGTTATTTTGAATTGTAATTAATATATTTTATTATTTTTGAATTTTTGATTTGTTTTTCTTCCTTGATTTGAGTTTATTTCCATATACCTTCCCAAAAAAACGACGAATAAAGTGGTAGAATATGTGTTTTGTTTCACTGTGAACGTGTTTCTGTTTATAGCTGATACCGAAATCGCCGAATTTAGGCGGGCGGCCTTTATGGGTGGAGAAAGAGCTCTCTGGACGTGTGCGTATTCCGCACACGTTTGTATTGCACAGCTACACGCGCCCGACTGTCTGCCAGCACTGCAAGAAACTGCTCAAAGGGCTGTTCAAGCAGGGCTTGCAGTGCAAAGACTGCAATTATAACGCACACAAAAAGTGCATCGAAAAAATACCCAAGGACTGCACCGGTGAATTACAAACGGGCCATTATGAATGTAAGTTTATCCTTAAAACAAAAAAATACTAAAAATTATTTCATGTTAAAATTCCATAGCAAATTTAGCCGATGTTGAATCATCAGCATCCAGCTGTAGCCATCTGACAGAGGATGAAAGCGAATGGGAGAAACCCGATATACCGACACCGCCGCTCATTTCAGTGCCGAATGGCACGACATATCCGGAAGCCTTTCCGGTGCATGACACCGAAGACAACGATTCAATACCCTCATCCTCCTCGTCCTCACCCAGCGCCAACATCCCGCTGCAGCGGATTGTGCAATCCGTCAAGCATACCAAACGACGCGGGTCGAAGATTATGAAAGAAGGTTGGCTGGTGCATTTTACCAATAAGGATCGCACTGTACGACGCCATTTTTGGCGCTTGGACACCAAATCGATCACGCTCTTCCAAAGCGACCAAGGTTCGAAATACTACAAAGATATACCACTCGCTGATTTATTGACTGTGGACACAGCACGCTTGAAACAGGGCGAAGTCATGCATTGTTTTGAGTTGCGCACTGCTAACATCGATTACTTCGTCGGGCAGGACCCGCTGCATGAACTGCAAGAAAATGGCGGAAATGTAACTCTTCCACCGCCTGATAGTGGAATAGGTGCTTATCTCGCACGTAGTTGGGAGACTTCCATTCGCCAAGCATTGATTCCAATAAATGCTAACATGCGCTCCGAAGCCGAGGGGGAATCAGAGGAACAAGTTACAGACATGAGTCAGATCTTCCAGATATTCCCTGATGAAGTCCTCGGTTCGGGGCAGTTTGGTATTGTGTATGGCGGAGTGCATCGCAAGACAAATCGTGCCGTTGCGATCAAAGTAATCGATAAACTACGTTTTCCCACGAAACAGGAAGCGCAGCTCAAGAACGAAGTCGCCATCTTGCAGAATCTCTCACATGGCGGTGTGGTTAACCTAGAGAGAATGTTTGAAACTCCTGAACGAATATTTGTAGTGATGGAGAAGTTGAAAGGCGATATGCTAGAGATGATTCTGTCGCATGAAAAAGGCAGATTGACGGAACGCGTGACGAAATTTTTAATCACGCAGATACTCATCGCGTTGAAACATCTGCATAGCAAGAATATCGTACACTGCGATTTGAAACCGGAGAATGTGCTATTGAGTTCCGACGCAGAGTTTCCGCAGGTGAAGCTGTGTGATTTTGGTTTTGCGAGGATCATTGGCGAGAAAAGTTTCAGACGGTCTGTTGTAGGCACGCCTGCATATCTAGGTATGTTTAGTTGCCTATAAAAGAAAAAGAATTAATAAACTTACTTGTTTTTTTTTTATTGTAGCACCGGAAGTCCTTCGGAATAAGGGCTATAATCGATCGTTGGATATGTGGAGCGTCGGAGTCATAGTCTACGTGAGTCTAAGCGGCACATTTCCGTTCAACGAGGACGAAGACATCAACGAGCAAATTCAAAACGCGGCGTTTATGTATCCTCCCAATCCATGGAAGGAAATCTCATCGGACGCCATCGATCTTATCAATAATCTCCTGCAAGTGAAACAGAGAAAGCGTTACACTGTGGATAAATCGTTGCTGCATATTTGGCTACAGGTAAATATCAGCCATTTTGTTTTTTAATGAAATAAATTACATATGCGTGTTTTTTGTTGTTTTTTCAGGATTATCAAACCTGGTGTGATCTGAGAACACTCGAAAATCAAATTGGGATGCGCTACCTAACGCACGAAAGCGACGACGCGCGTTGGGAGCGTTATCGGTCTGACTGCCCGCTATGACCGCACAAGAGCTGGCTGCACAACGTAAAGAAGTGCCTAAGCGCTTTAAAAGTATAGCAGTCCGCCCCCCATTGCCCCCGGCGCCACCCCAAAACAAACCCTCTCTCTCTCTCAACCGCGCCCCGCTCGCCACGCCCTCATCCTTTTACTTCCGCCGCCCCGTGCGCCAACTTTACGCTCATTACTACTCTCTTAATGTCTTTTACGCGCACTTTGAATGCACTTTAACTCGTTACTTAGTAAGTACTTAAACAAAACAAACAAAAACTCACCGACACATTCGATTTTCATTTCGATGCGATATGGTGAACTCTAGACCAAGATGGCGGGCGCGCACAAAATGGCCGCGCGCAGAAACACAAACAAAACCGTACTATTGTTTATTATTTAAGCTTTAATCTAAGGAGTAATACTTTATATATCGTTTTTTATTACTATTATTGATGAGATTATTTGGAGTCATTCCGAACGTTTACGAATTTTATTATGATTGTATTCACTATACTCACTCGTTGCCGCGAACGAATTGGTGCATTTTTTGCGAACATTACGCCTAGGATGATAAGCGACGATGGAAACTGATCCATCGAAGAGATACTAAACTAATACAAAGTGTGTACTTATACAATTGGCCGCCTCCTCAGGTGGGATAGGATGGCGGCCCCCAATTTGGCCTAATTAACGTGCTTCAGTATTGTACTTATTACGAAGAGTGATGAAGGTACATTACGATTATTACAAACCGTGTAGTGTTTTATTGTTGTCACGTATCTGTTGTTGTTGATTAATGATGAAGATATTACGCAGCGCCGACGCACGGGAAGCAATCGCCTAATAATAATTCTAAACGATGGAGTCGAGCGAAGCAGGGGAAGAGTCGGCGTTGTGCGTCGATTATATTGATATTTTATTGAAACAAACACAAATAAGGTGCAATTACGGCGTTTGTAAGCTCGATGCATGTTCTTTATATAATTTTTTTTTATTATTATTAAAATTATTGAGATATAGAAAGCGCGGTACGCTGAAATTGTGACCGTCGATGGTTGTGTCGCATGCGTGCGTTTAATTCGATTGAATAATTACGATTAAACTGTTGGCTTGGGTACAGGGATATACAAAATTACTAGGATAATTAAATGTATTATATCTAAATTTATTCTGTTGTGTTGTAATTGTAATTCATCCGGAAAACCTAATAAAATGCCTGAGAGTTGATAAATTTACTATGAAACTGTTTTTGCGGTGTATATTGGGTTGCCTATAATGAGTTTTAAAAGTTTTGCGTGTTTTACGCGTTTTTTCAGTTTTTATGATGTTAATGTAATAATATGATAAGTTTTATGTTATTAATGTTTAGTTTATGAGTTGATATTGTTGTTTTATTGCAAATTGTGCGGATGCGTTTTTAGATGCGCGCGTCTGACCCAATTTTCCAGCGCGCCTCGCGGTGCGCCGACGAGCGCCGCGCAATCAGACCGGAGTCGGTCTTGGAGCGCTCGCCATCGAGCAACGGTGCGTCGCGCGATCGACGCCTCCACAACGAGAGGGCACGGTGCCGGCGGCGGCGGAGTGGCCAGACTTACGCAAGACTAGACGTAGAGTGCTTCCTAGTGCAGAAGTGGTGCAGAAGGTGCTGGCCGGCGGAGAATCTCAAAAGAACGCGATCATTGCGGCCAGAGAGGCGGCAGGAGCGGCGGCGGCGGCGGCGATGCGGGGGCGCGCGGCGTAGCGGGCGGCGCGCCGGCGTACGCGCAGCACCTACACCCGCGCGACGGGCGTTCATTGATCAGGCGACGGCGGCGGCGGCGGCGGCGTGCGTGCGCCGTCCATCTTTGAGTTCGGCCAGTTACGAGTGCGGTGCGTGTGTCGTGACATGAGATGTCCCGCGACGCGTACGTGGGGGGCAGCCGCTCGCCGCGCGGCGTGAGACTGCCCACCGTCGACCGGTCGCCCAGCCGCGGCGTATACCCCGGCGGATCACCCGTCGGCCTCTCCGGTGTCGGCGTCTGCGGCGGCCGCAAGCCGCTGCGACAGACGCGCTCCGGCAACAACTCGCCCGACCACGGCTACGGACTCGGCGGCGTGGCGGGCGGCGGCGGCTACGGCCACGGCTACTACCGCGACGACGAGCTCGCCAGCCCCATGCTGATGGAGGAGCGCGGGCGGCCGCTGGCGGTCGGCCCCGGCCACCACCGGTCGCGTTCTGCGACGCGCCCGGCCAACCCCATGTCGGTGCGCTACCAGTCGCTGGACCGCGGTGGCGTAGACCACGACCGCGAGTTCCTTCCGATACGCGACCGACGCGACCGCAGTCTCGAGCGCAGCCTCTACTTCGACGAGGACCCATATCCGCGCTCGGCACGTCAGTCGCCCACCAGTCATCAGCCCTTCCTCGGCGAGCTGCAGCACCAAAACTCCGACCTGCAGCGCGAGCTTGGCAATCTCAAGAAGGAGCTCGAGCTCACCAACCAGAAGCTCGGCTCCTCCATGCACTCCATCAAAACTTTCTGGAGTCCTGAGCTCAAGAAGGAGCGCGCGCTGCGCAAAGAGGAGTCGGCGAAATACAGCCTCATCAATGACCAGCTCAAGCTGCTCAGCAGCGAGAATCAGGTCAGTTCCCATCCCACACCCCGATATCAAACCGAAAGCTCTTAAAAACTTTTCAACTAGATAACAAGTTAATTAACGCTCCCACTCGAATTACAATCGCAAATCATCTCAAAAACCGCGCGCGCCCAGCGCCTCCGCAGTCGTTTCGGACGCGCGCCTAGCATACAAATCGTGCAACAATTTCCCAAGTCGTTTTTCGCTCTTTTTCCACCCGCAGTGGTCTATTTCTCCATGACGACGTCATCAATCACGCCGGCTTGCTTGAGCACACACTGGCATGTGTGTGCAGCAAACATTGACAGAGACAGGCGGCGCAGTGGAGGCATTCAGAGAAGTGCGTGGATGCGATCGACCTATATTCATCGCCGCCCGCCGCCATTCGGCGATCGAGACGCCATTGGTGTCACGGGAGAATCGGGTCGCAAATGCTATTTACTTCATTTGCTCCGTGAGCAAACGAATCTAGCGCAACAGATGACATTATTCCAGCCTCGAATGCAAAAACACATGACATTTTCCTCACTAACCTAAATTTTTACATTTTTGACAGTTTGAATTTACATAACCTAAATTTAAAGCTTTTGTGAGAATATACGTAGGAAATAAATGTGAAATTTTCCATTGTGTCGGGAAAGTGCCCTCCCTAAGAGGCTTTTCCGATGCGTATTGCCGTTTTCGCGCTGACGGCGTCTTGTCTTTTCGTCGCCGAATCGATTCCTAACTTTATTCAACTTTATTGCCGCATATTTCCACCACCAGACGCAAATTTCCTTTCACGCTTCAGTTTTGCACTTTGCACACAGCCGTAATCCAAATTTACGCTGCAATTCAACGGGTGCAAATCCTCGGAAACGGCATAAATCTAAATTCGATGATGTTACCACGTACGCAGTACATTACACGACGTAATAATTATTAATGTCGTCGAATGAATCTCAATTAAAATCGAAAACCGGTGTATGTGTCGTGTAAAAACGCATTAAAAACTCACGAAGTGAGTTCTCGTCAATTTGGCGCGTCGCCAAACCAAAAACCGATGCTGTGCGATGAGCGATGTGCGCTTCCAGCCGGTTAATGAAAGTCGAACGCGATTTGCCACTCGAGTCCAGCCAGCTCTGGAGGTTTGGAAGTCAATGAAGAGAAAAGTCAGCTTGAACATTTTGGGCGATCTGCCCGAAAAAATAAACCGTCGACGAATGCGGGGCATGCGAAATTTAATTAATCATTGTAATTTAATTAACTCCGGCCATTCGTTTTCGTTCGGGTTGTAAACTGAGTAAACTCAGGACGTGTTTGCCAACATGCAAACCTTTCAACAACCAAAACACAAGACTCAACAAATCCCATACCTTTTCCGTATACATAGTAAATAATAAATGTAACTAAATTTTATTACCGTACATCTTCCACGCGTGGATTTCCATCGTAAATTTCATTTGCTCCATTTGCACATTGATGAACACTATTCGTCTCGAGATGGCGTTGTAAAACATCGATTGGCTTTAATCAGGCAACCCCCGACTGTGTGTACACGCCGCTGCAAAGTAATTCAATCAAATCAAATTAATGATTTTTTCCCCAACGAGCAGCACAAACAAATTGAGTTGTTTGCAGTCTTTAATCAAGACAATCAGTACTTATATTCTAAATTTAAAAATTAACCTAGGTGCATGTGAGGTTGATATTGAATTTTCCACTGGAATTGCGTTGAATATTTTATGGACGTGTACATGACGCTGGTTTATATTTTCATTTTCATTTAAAATTCATCTTGTTCGTTGCGTTCGCTGGATATTTGAGTGTTCGGGTATTCAGGCTGAGAGACGTAAATAACTTTTCTACGCGCTCACCACTTGGTGCTTACACCCTTTTCGAAGGAAGTGCGATGTCATCACTTTCTCAACTTGTCACTTTCTTACCTCGTTACACAATTTATATGTGATTAAACACTTGTTCTGCCTGGTTCTGCTTCGCAGACGGAATGATACACGTCCGAGGTATATTTTTGTGATATTAAATAGTTTATTGTGTGGTATTAAAAGCGAGAAATTGTGTTTTTGATATAAAATATATTTATTTCAGTACCGTGTAGGAGTATTTACTTTCTCTGAATGTTATTCGTCTTTTGTACGTTGTACACACAATATTTTTTATCCAAAATAAGAAAAATTAAGTTTTTGATAAAACTTTACCATCTATGACTGCAATCGCGTACATAAATGTTAATGTTTGCGTGCTTTGTGTATTTTCGCGTGAGTGGACACACTGCACGACATTCGATGCGACTGGAATATCAAAAAATATCAAACGAACAGAATCAATAGTTATATTTTATATAATTCTGAACACTGATTTTTTCCATGCTAATGATGAAAAATATTGCTTGTAGGGCTGAACGGGTGGAAAATAGATTGTGTAACCAAGGACATCAATGAAATTCATAATTATTTTCGAAACACGAACGAAACATTCTCGCCGTACAAATTGACAGCGTGTTATTAATTAATGTAGGTATATCAATTATTTCGTTACTGAGAGCAAAAATATTTATATTCGCTTGAAATTCGAAAATACTAACATTTTTTAAAGAAACAAAAGATTCAACAAAAAACATATTTCAGGCGTTTCTGTGTGTACTGTGTGTCGTCAAAATAAACCTTATTCAAGGGAACAACACGTTTTGAATAATTGTATAATTCAATTTTATAAAATAAGCAGCGGAGGAAACAGATATTTCAATTTGAAAACCGTTCCCAGTGGGAATATTCCAAAATATTAAGTATCTTTAGTGAATACCAAGATATTAATTTTCCGTAGGCGGCGGCAGAAACGGAAAAATATTAAACTTCGAAACGAAGAAAAGAAAAATAAGCATTTAAATTTGAAGTAGGTAACGATGAATCTGTTTTATTTAGGATCTCGCTAATTCAATATAATTTCCAAATAAATGTTTCTTTTTTTAATAAAACTGAAACATTTTGGCAAATAATATATCATAAAAGTAATAACTCAAACTCTAATAAAAAAAACTTAATATTATCCCTGAAAAACCCACTCTTAATACAATTTTGTAAATTTTAAACATTTCAAAAGTTTAAGTCTTTACGTTGAGTTTGTCTTCATCTGTCGCAATTTTGTCCCCCAATGTACTGAATGCGCATTAGTTGCGTTTTACGTTTCACAGCACGTTTGTCCCTGTTTTTTGCGTTGCTTCTTGCCGCGAGGATTATCCTGCGACGCGCGGATGGCAACACACGGCAGCGTCGTGAGACTTAAGCGTTCGTCCTTTGAGAAATGGACCAACCTTGACGCACACCGTCGCGTTGCCACCCAGCAAACGTGGCGAGCATCATAAAAACATGAATGAAACAAACGAAGCGACTTGCAAGAGCAATAAAACGTCGGATATAGACGGATATCAAAGTTACGCAAAGACAAAAAACGAAACACACGCACACAAGGACACAGTGTGACTCTGTATGTCAGAATTGAGACGTTCGGACAAAACGTACAAGTTGGATGGGAAGCAGTAAAAAGTAAGAGTCAAAAAGCGGAAGCGAAAGAAAACTCAACTCGAGCTGGAAAAGGTCAGAGATCATAAGTTACACAGTTTGACACCGCGGCTTAGACGCACACTCACAGGTTTTCCCTGTGAACCTGAATATGCAGTGTTTTTTTGTTTTTCCTTCGACGCGTGAAATATTCATGTGATTCAATGCTTAATAGCCTCGTATAAAACACAACAAAAAACGTACACTCTGTCACACTATCTACGAAACATGCAAAACAACATTTACATAATAAATAAATGTTTTTCTACTTCCACCTTTAAAGCTCGAGTTTTTCCACGGTTTTAAGACTCCGAAAGTGATACTTTTAACACGAACGGCTAAAGCCGTGACTAAAGTACTTTAGTTACGGGCTTTAGTCACGGGGTGGACCTTGCGTCTGCGCGAGTTTTATAATACAAAAGTTCAAATAGATAAAATAGTTCAAAATACAAAATAGCGTAAGCATTGCGTCGCTAAACGTTGTTAAAGTGCCGCTTAGCGCCCTTGACATTTAATATACTAGTTTTTCCTTTTAATTTGATGATATATTGAAAGTATCAAGTTAAGAATGCGAATTTAATTCCAATATATTAAAAATAGACAGTTTGTGAATAGCGCGCGGAAATTGTATGGTATTTAATAATGGGCTTAAGGTAATCCCGAGGTGGAGGAGCAAAACGAAAACGCGAACCAGCAAGCGCCTAACTAAACGCCAACTAAACGGCGAACGAAATCCGATTATAGCGCTGGATTCCGCTACACGGGTTACATCAAACGTCGACGGTCGATCGCTGATGAATTAAAACGCGGTCGGCTTTTCGCATTCGCTAAATAAATTATACAAACACAACAGAACCGCGAGCACACATCAAAAAGTAAAAAACAAATAATGTATACGCCATCTGGTGAATACTTCCAAAGAAAAATAAAAAAAAAAATATTATATTATGCCAATTTAATATTTTACATACCATATTGTATGAATTTTATGCAATTAGTAATGTAATACAATTCTGTAAATAATATTCATAATATTTTTGTATTTTCGATTTCAATGCGTATTTTTCTTCTTTCATTTCCACTCCAACTTGTGTGTATTTTCGTAAATGCGCGATTCATTTGTTTGCGTAATGACGCACATCAACAATGCCCGAAGCAATCGGAGGCACAGCGTACGGAAAGCGTGAAAAGCGTTTGGAAAAAAAAGCGCGCTGGCACTGGAGTTGAAAATTCATGCACGCGTTTTACGTTTTTGTTTCGTTCGCTTCGTTTTTTGCTTCGCCAACACGAACACCACCAGAAGGAACAAAACTACGCAAAGTACCTGCCGCGTTAGCACGCCTCGCGCCCGCCTATCGATTCCGGTTTTTTCGCACGAAACCTGAATGGGCGTTGTTACAAGCACGCAGGAGAAAAAAAAATGCAATGAAATTTTAATAAACTTAATTACTGCGCGAAAACATCGTTAAAAACTCGAGTTTGCCAGCGAATTTTATGCGATATTAATGCAATTAACTACTTGCGCTACAGCAGCGCCACCTGTTTTTAATAGTTCATGAAAAACAATGTAGTTCAATGACATTCTATTACATGAGAAGTTTGATATATATTTTTACTCGTAGATATTAAGTAACTGAATATAAAGTTGTGCATAAAGCAGAAACACATGACGAATGTGGTTAATTCGAGTGTCTGACTGACTGAATGTCGGCATGTCGAAAGGAATGTTTTCATTCAAGGCGGTTATTTTTAGCTGTGCTCTGCCAAGTGCGCTTTCAGTGGCGACTGTTTCAAGTGTACGAAGTTCACGGCGTGCTACATGACGCGTCCGCCAGAAACACTGGCTGATTAACAGCGGCAGCTCCCTGAGGGGGCGGCGGTGTGTTCATCATAAGTAATAATAAAGCAGACGCTTGCACGACGTACGGCCATGTGTCGTAATTAATGATCAGTTATGCTTCAACTAACGTACGAGTGCAAGTTCATGTTGGAGATATTTGTAAACAAAAAATAATTTAAATGTTCTACAAAACTTAATTTTTCTATTTTCTTTTTATTTTATTTAAATTTACTTTAATCACGAACGGCCAAGATCGTGACTAAAGCACTTTAGTAACGGGTTTTAGTCACGGGGTCGCTAATGGTTGTTAAAACGTGGTTTAGCGCACTTGATACTTAATATACCATTTAGAATCTAATAAAATTTATTTCTGCTTTTTTATTTATTTATTTTTTCCTTCATTGACTATTTTTGTAGTTTCTCACTTGTTTCCACTCATTTGTAAATATAGTGTACATAAAAGTCGGAATAAAAATGAACAACAAACAAATTGCTCCGATCACATTGCATTATCGGAAAAGTGATTAAGCAGAACCCGCCAAGAGCCGGAAGGAAAACAACGCGGAGCGAGAAAAATACGGCTGCAACCCCCAACCACTCAAACGCATGAATATTCATGCGGTGCGCGTCGCATCAAAACTTCGATGCTATCGTGAATAAATTAGAAAATATAACGGTTTTATTTACTGATGGAATATTTTTTTTATCCACAAATTTCAATATTTTCCAATTCCATGCTGAATAAATATCTAAATTTATATATTTATTCTTTCAGAGTACCTGCACTTGATACATGCATATAGTTAAATATTAAATAGTAATATTCCAGCAGATGATGCTCAATGCAGATATAGAATTATATGTTATGTTTGCGATTTGTGCGTTTGATAGATGTAAACGTTTCAAGCTCTTGCAACAGTAGCGCCGCGCATTCTGCTCATTCTGTTTATAATTGTAATATAAATAGAAGATCAAAACGGAACGGCATGGAAACGCTGCAAACGCACGTCGTAAACGAAGAGATTTTCCAGCGCGTTCCGCACGGTAGCGTCCGGATAACAAACTGGCCGTGAGCGAACGTAATTTGAAATTGAAGCGCTGCCGCCGCGGCGGCGACGGGCGCACCGAGCGCGAATGTAATTTCAGTTGAAACAATTGCGCTGAGGGATATAGATATAGACAGAAACAGTTACAGCTCAAGCGATAATAATAACTCAATAGACGTTTCAGAAAATTGCTACCAGGAAGATGTTAGTGTTTAAGCCACCAAAGGAAATAAAATGTTTTATGAAAGCTCACCTACAGAAGAAAAACTATGAATAGGAAAGGAAAAATACGAGATAATTTGTTTGTTTTTTTACTAATTTGTAATAAAAGAGATACTAAACAGGAGTTTTAAATATAACATTTTCTGAAGTGCGCCGAGGCATCATCTTTTTTTTATAAAAATGAACAGTTGTTCGTTAATAAAGCTGGATGTGAAAATGGAAGAACCAATTTTAATTATTTTTGTTTAGTGTTTGATGTTTTTCTCTGGAAACAGCGGTGCTGTTAAAAAACTGGGAAAAAATATAACGGAAATGCAGACAAATTAAAATCTGATTTTTTGTGTTTTGAATAAAACTAGCTTTTCCAATTAATTTTTACTTTCTTGGATCCAGTATGTGTCGATTCATTTAATAAAATATGCAATTTTATTTTAAAGAAATTAGAAATGCTAATAATGCACTTTGGCGCCATTTTGGATTCAATTATGCAACTATAACTATGATTGAATTTCCATACGAATTTTCATCTCATATTTAACATAATCATAATTAAATCATAATTTTAAATATTTTACAAATTATTATGCTATTCGGGATAGAGACGAATCCAACAAATTATAGATCATCAAAATCTGTCCAGCCGGTCTAAAGTTATAAATGCTGTAACTAACAGAATTACAGAAAACTGTAATTGAAACCAATTGCCTCCAACCAAGTAACGACACTACAAAGCGCACAGAGAGGCAGAAAAGTGAAGACTAAATATCTCCGGTGCGCGATTAGAACTGATCAGAACCGAGGATATAAAAGAAAAAAATTAGAGACCTGCGATAAACTGCTGGACCACTCAGGCACGAGTGATCACTGTGTGCGCTGCGCGCTGGCCTTTTATATCTTCGATCCACCCGCAAAAAGTAGTGGGGAGAAAGTTAAAACTGACATATCTTCTTTACCTGCTTGGCAAAAGATTAGTGGGGCAAAGTCCCACTGCAATAAGTCCCTTATACATTAATAAATATGAAAAACGTTGCGCAAAATTAAAACCTTAATAGTTTAAACCGAATTAATTCGGTTAAATCAAGAAATATGAATCTACCCAACCCGGGGAAAACGCAATAATACGAAAATTTAATCCCATGGACGTGTGCAAACAAGAGAAAGAATATCTTTGATACCGGTGAGAATGCGTCGGCTTTCGCCAAAATTGGATGAGAGAATACAACGACAAAGACCAGCGGAGCGTCGAGCGTGGCACACGAGAAAATTAGAAAATTAAACGCAAACGACTTTGGCTCGTTTGGGCGGGCGACAAGCGCGTCACCGTCACGGTATTATTCCGCTGCAGCAGCGACCGTGTGGCCGGCTGCTAATTGAAAACTTTGATCATTTGCATTTTAAATTGGTAATGCCATTAGACAATACATGATAACGATACAGTATGCATAAGCAGAATATGTTTTCTCCGCCTCGCGATGACAAAAATAGATGAAAAATCTATTCCACCACCCAAATTGCATTTTAATAATATTTGATTGGCTGCTAGACGAGGAAATAAATGACGGCTTGTTATGTCATGCGTAATTTGTCGTGGGTGCTTTTTGTACTTGTCATAACGGCGGAGTAGAATAGAAAAATCACTAAACATGAATTTTTCAATCGTTGCGCTCGTATCGTGAGTGCAGCCCGACATGAACATCGCCGTTTGGAGTGCTCTGACACCTCTTTTTTTTTCTCTTCCACTACCACCCCACAAGCCGGCGGTGGCGGTGGCAGTGGTGGCGTTGGCGACCGTTCAGCATCGGAAGCCGGGAAACCTGAATGCATGAATTGTGCGCTATGCGAGTACTCGACGTTACGCTTGCTCGTACAACCGCTCACTTACACCACAACGCCGTGGCGTATTCACACCGGCGGCGGGTGGTAGATGGCCCGGCCAAGTCGAGCTCTGGATCGTGGAAAATAGATTAGTAAGGAGGTTTTCACTTGGCGCCCAAAACGGCATTTCACACGTGTCCGCAAAGCAACCGTCACGGATATATAGCTGACTTAAAACTTTTTATCTCAAACTGTTTAAAATAAAATTTGGATGTTTTCTGCCACGAATTTTTGTGACCTTTTCTTGAATATTGCGTTAGAAAGTTGTAGCTATAATGCGAGTAGTATTTTGCCAATTTTTTTAAATTTCGAACATCTGTGGAGGAGATGAGTTGAGGAATATTCCATAGAGGTTGTAAAATAGCGGGTAACTCTCTTTTTTGGAATATTAATTAACCAACGTTTATCCTCCTACAATTTTTATCTAGATTTTTGGGGTGGTAGTTGGATTAAAAAAAAACAGACTTCAAAAGAGTTCGATCAATTTGAGACGGCACTGTTAACAATTTTCTGGAACAAACTCCTACAGAGAATCGAAATTACCAGCAAATACTTACAGGAACCAAAGACAAATATTCTTAATAGTGTTAGTTTATTAAAATCATTAAACGAATTTATAACAGTGGTCAGAAATAATTTCGAAACTGTTGAAGAGGAGGCTAAATCCCTAACAGCTCATCATTCTTATAAAGAGATGAGACAAAGAAAACGCAAATATCCATATGATGAAACGAACAAAAATGATACAGCATTTTTGTCAGGAAATTTTTATATTGTATGTGATGTATTAACATCAGAAATTACTCGAAGGGGCGATGTCTATATCAATGTTCTTAACGATTTTAAAATTTTCTTTGATTTAAAATTAAGCCGTGTTGAGACTAATAATTGTGTAGAGCGTTTATTGTCTAAGTATGAAAAAGATATTGAGCCAGAATATTTCACTGATGAGTTAACTCATTTTCTAAAATACATACAAGAAGAAAATATTAGAGATCCACATGAAATGTATGCAACATTAAGTAATGGTCTAAAATCAACTTTTCCAAATATACACACAATACTGCAAATTTTTTTGACCTTGCCCGTTTCTAATGCAAGTGGAGAAAGGACATTTTCAGTTTTAAAACGAGTCAAAAACTATCTGCGCAATAGTCTTTCACAAGAGCACTTAAATGACTTCGCATTAATGTTCATAGAAAATGATATTTTTAAAAAACTAGAGTACGACAAAATTATTGAAATCTTTGCCCAAGAGAAGGCTAGAAAAGTAAATTAGTAATTTGTATTTAAATACGATTACCGTTTTTGAGCACACGTACGATGAACTCGAGAACCAAGATAGCATTGAAAACGATAATCCCATCGCGGATAGTATGGCAGAAAATTTTACCTGTGATATTTCGATCGGTCCTGAAAACAATTAACGCACAACACCTGGTCCATCGCGAAGAGCGAATCGGAAGATAATCCATTAAATTTTGGAATAGTGCGTGTGGATTAGGCCTACTGGGGATACCACGATAAAACGCGCCACGTACTCTACCTCATGGTGGTGTGGAAATGAGTTTTTGGCACAAACGAATGTTGAAGTAGACTTTGCGGCGCCTCGTGCGCACCGCGTGTCTATGTATATGTGTGTGTGTTGGGGAGGGCGGTCGACGACCCTGCACTTTCCTATCGATCTCACTCGCGCACACGATCGTGCCGCCCCCGCGCCACCCGCGGCGCTCGCGCGTTGATGCTCGAACGAGGTCGGCCGGAGCGGGTACAAACGCACCGCGCGGCCCGCAACGATAACAAACCACAATTTCATTCAATTCCGCTGCCGCCCTCACGGCCATCTATGCGCGGGGGTGGAAAATCACGCACGCAATGAATTATGTTTCTTGGAACACTGGCATGGGGCGATCGCATCGATCTGGGAAATATTAATAAACAATGGGACATGATTCGACGACAAAATTGATTTTACGAGCCATATACAAAATCCTATTATATACCATCTTAAAAATCAATAAACTGCTGTCCCAATCCTGACTTTGAATAAAAATAATAATAAAAAATATTTTCTTTTGAAAATGTTTAGAAACAAGCAATGTTGGTACGCCAACTGGAGGAAGAACTCCGCATGCGAATGCGTGGCCCAAGCATCGAAGTCCAACAACAGATGGAAGTCATCTATCAAGAGAACGAACATCTGAGCCGCGAGATCGCCATCCTGCGCGACACGATCAAGGTGACCTATCAACACCCCAGCGTGCCCGGCACAGTCTCACCCTCATCAGGCACGCTTCAATCACTTCATACATCACACCTACACCTTCTACACGCCACGAACGAAAAGCGTTTGCTTACACTTTCTCACGTTTCTCTTTTTTCGCAAACAAACATTATATATATGAAACACACACACGCATTTATAAACTATCGCCCTACTCGAGACAGGACAATGACATTGTATATACCCAATACACCCGACACAAATCACGCTGTGTGAATATTCGCATCACTCTGTGTTGTTTCCCGGACGCGATGATAAGGATGATCCACATGTGTCATAGCTTGTGTGTTTTTGGGGCACGTTCTAGGAGTTGGAGCTGCGCATCGAGACGCAGAAGCAGACGCTGCAGGCACGCGACGAGAGCATCAAGAAGCTGCTGGAGATGTTGCAGAACAAAGGAATGGGTGAGTGCCGAGCATAAATCCATCTCTGTGCGCGTGATGCTGAGTGTTTTATTGTTTTCGCGCACAATTCGCACAGGGAGAAACTAAACAATAAATGCTTTCCGTTTTTTTCTTCTCTCGATAACTAAATATAAATGTCTGGGGTTTATTGCAATGCACTGTTCTTTTGTTGAAGCCTTGGTGTTGTATACAGTGTGTTCGGTGTGGGTGAATAGCGAAGAAGTTTTTGATTGTGTTTGGGTTGATTACAGGCAAAGAAGAGGAGCGCGCCATGTTCCAGCAGATGCAAGCGATGGCTCAGAAACAGGTATCGTCAAGTCACCCTCATGAGACATACTCATTCTCATCGAACCAAATATTTGACATCAAATTACTCAAACAAAATTCAGACCAAATTCAAAACCAATGTATCTCAAGTGTTTTCTCGTTAAATGCATTAATTATTTAAATCTGAGTTGTTTAGAAGGCATAACGATAGAAAACTTGGATACGAATCAAAATATAACCATATAATTAAGGAGTATGCAGAGGGGTGCGATAGAATTGCGTGTGTGTGCCAGCGCAATGAAACAAATTCAAATTCGGCCAGAAAAATGAAAAACAAATTGCAATTTTCGAACGAGCGAGGTTGGTAAAGCGAGCGTTGAAAGCGGGGGTTGTCGCGTGAGGGATATCGGGGAGGTGCGGCGAGGGCGCTCCACACCTCCACTCTCTGTGTGTTGTCTTGGTTTGTGTGTGCAGGAGCTGCGGCTCGCCAACGAGACGTTGCGCACGCTGCAGTCGCAGCTGGAGCTGGTGCCGTCGCCGTCCGGCAGCACCGTCCGCGTGCTGCTCGACACGAAGGACGCGCGCATCGCGACCCTCGAACGCGAGGTGCGCTTGCTGGAGGACGAGGTGGATCGGCTCGGCGGCGGCGACGCCACGGCGCCGTTCAAGCGTCAAGTAAGTCACCACCATCTACAACAACAACAACAACAACAACAACCACTGCAACTGCCACCCATCGCAATGATGATGTGAACGTTCGGCGCATCAAAGTTTTATTTGTTGTTATATACTCATATATATATAGAAACTCTTAAGGGTCAGTTGTGTCGGGTCCGCTTTGCGTACGTTTTACCACCTCTCTCTTCATCTCTTCTTGAATCTCACCACCAGATCACACAAAACACACATACCAACACTTCATATACCCACACCTACACTTGACATGTTGAACACGCACTCTGCATGCTCCTTAAGCTCCTCCCCGTTGCTCCGCCCCCCATGAAACAAAATGGGCGTGCTCGAGTGTGCGAGTGCAAGTCTCGCATGCGTTTCGATTTTGCGCAGCTGGACGAGTTCCGCGTGGAGATCCAGCGGCGCGACCAGGAGATCCTCGCGATGAGCGCCAAGATGAAGACGCTGGAGGAGCAGCACCAGGACTACCAGCGGCACATCGCCGTGCTGAAGGAGTCGCTGTGCGCCAAGGAGGAGCACTACAATATGCTACAGGGTGACGTCGAAGAAATGCGCCAGCGACTGGAGGAGAAAAATCGGCAGTTCGAGAAGAAAACCGGTCAGCATCAACAAGAGCGACAGCGGGCGGGTGCTGAGGTCGCCGAGATGCGCGAACACATGGACATTAAGGATCGCAAGATTAATGTCCTGCAAAGAAAGGTAATTGTCTGCGTAGATGTCCAATGTGTTACAGAACATATTACAGGTGTCTTTAGGTATCGGGGATTGTGAATTGAAAATGTTCTTTTGTGTTAACGCTGCGTTGTGACCAGGTGGAAAACTTGGAAGATTTATTGAAAGAAAAGGATAATCAGGTGGATATGGCGCGCGCACGTTTGAATGCCATGCAGGCGCATCATTGTTCATCTGAAGGTGCGCTTTCTTCGCTGGAGGAAGCCATCGGTGACAAGGAGAAACAAATGAATCAGTTACGTGAACAGCGTGATCGCGCCGAACAAGAAAAAGCAGAGGAACGCGATTTGCACGAGCGGGAAATCGCTGAATACAAGATGAAGATTCATGCATTGAATAGTGAGGTAGAGAAGTTGACGGTGCGTTTGGAACGAGCCCAGAGCGACAGGGATAGACTGGAGACGAAATTGGAGAGTTCGCAGTCTGAGTTGGGAAAATCCAAGGCCGAGTTGGACAAGTTCTCCGTGGACGTCGGCCGCAGCTCAGACTACGAGGCAACGCGCCAACGATTGGCACGCCTCGAGTTGGAGAACGAACGCCTCCGCGCGGACGTGGAACGCGCCGAGCGCTCGGAGCGTCAGCAGATGACCTCCTCGTTAAGTCGCAGTGCGTTGTCGCGCTCGCAGGAATTCGATACCATGTACGACCGCAGCGACAAGACCTCATCGGATCTGCGCCGTTGTCAGGCCGAACTGCGCGTCACGCAGGCGGACAACGAACGCGCCAAATCCGAGGCCACAGCGCTGCAAGAGAAATTGGAAAAGTCGCAGGGGGAAGTATACCGCCTCAAGGCACGCCTGGAAAATTCACACCAAGAACAGAACAGCCTACGCGAGGAGTTGGAGCGGGCGCAAGCCGCTATGGCCCGCTTGCACGCCGACAAAGATCGCTCGACGGCGGACCTCGACAAGGCCAGGGAGGAGCTGGAGCGCTCACAGGCTACCTTGGGAAAGGCCCAATTGCAACAAGACAAATTACAGAACGCCTTGGACAAAGCTCAGACAGAAGTCGACAAATTGCAGGAAAAATTCGACAAAGCTATGGCGGAAGCACGCAGGGTAAGCACGCTGCTACTAATCCAACACAATCCAAAAACCACTCTAATCCGCTTTTCATTGCCCACAGATCCAACTAGAAAAAGAAAAACAAGGGTACGATTTCGAGAGTGTCCAATCGCAATTGGACAAGGCTCTCGGGCAATCTGCTCGGCTACAGAAGGACAAGGATACGGTCCAATTAGAAGCAGATCGTCTTAGGGACAAGTACGAAAAGTCACAGGTACATCTCATCTCTCAACCTCATATCCCACTTGATCCAGATTTAATGTCTCTGCATTTATCTAGATTGCCGCTACCAGACTGCAGAAAGAAAAAGAAAGCTTCCAGGAAGAATGCGATAAGATGAAGGAGCGCTTGGAGTTGCAACTGAACCAGGTTGGTAAGCTGCAGCGTGAGCGCGCCGACATCGAGACCGAGCTCGACATCCTCAAAGAACGATGGGACAAGGCCCATATGCTCCAGCAAAAACTCCAAATTGAACGTGACGACGCCTATGGCGAGATCGAGCTGCTCAAAGACAAGTTGGACAAGGCGATGTACTCTTCCCAGAAGGCACTGGATGATCGCGATTCGCTCAACAAAGAGTTCGACAAGCTGCTCGAAAAATACGATAGGTACAACATCATTTTAATCTCAAAACAAAAAAAACTAATTCGCATTTCTTGTATTTTTACAGATCTCAGAGCGAACTCTACAGAATACAGAACAAATTGGACACCGTACAAGCAGAAAAAGACCGCCTGGAAGTCGAGGTAGACAAGCAACAAAACTTCCAGATGAAGACCCGCGACGACCAGCGCAAACTACAAGAAGAATTGGTACGTCTACAAGAGATGTACGAACGTGGACAAATGCAACTCGCGCGTACCAAGGAATTGGAAGAGAAATCCAAGGAAGAACTTGGTAGAATGGGTCTGGAGTTGGACATGGTCCGAGAACGATACGAAAAATCACAACTAGACGGCCGAAGACTCCAGAGTGAGAAAGATAAACTGCAATCAGAATGTGAACGGATGCAGTACGAATTGGAGAGGGCCCACGCGCAAGGTAACAAAGCCCAAGCGAGCTATGAAAAGGCCCAAGAGGAAGCCACTCGACACTCAATCGAATTGGATAAGATCCGGGACAAACACGAATGTCTCCAGAATGAATTCCGAAAAGTCGTTGGTGAATACGATTCTCTGCGTGAGACAACCACTAGTTCCTCAAGTAGGTACAGCAAATATGACCGGGAAGAAGTGCGTACCAAAGAGGATAATGATCGTCTACGTGCAGAAGTTGAACGTCTACGTGAACGACTCGAGAAGACCTTGACTGACCTGGATAGAGCACGGAAGGACTTGGTCCTGGCTGAAACCAGCCGTGGTAAGTACCAATATGAAGAGAAGGAAAGAACCGCGGAAACTGAACGCCTACGAGATGAAGCTCAACGCGTCGCGGCAACCAACGCTCAGCTTGAGACCAAACTTCATGAACTCTCACTGCAACTGGACCTTGCAAGACAGGAGGTCAATAAAGTCAGCGGTGGGCAGGACAAACAACGACATGAACTCGAGCGTGCTGTTATTGAATGTGAGAAGTTGCGTGATCGCCATGAGAAACTCAAAGTTCAAATGGAGAAGCTCCAGAAGGAGAACGAGAAACTCCGCGTTGAATTGGCACAAACCGAGAGGAGACAAACCCTTGCCGCGGATAGTGTACGATCTGATGAACGCCTGGAGGTGGAGCGTCTCAAAGAGAAACTCGAGAAAGCAATCCAGGCGAGAGATGCCACTGAATTGGAAGCTGGCAGGTTGGCCCAGGAGTTGGAGAAGTCCCAAATACATCTCGCCAAGGCCTTGGAGACAAACGAAGCTACCAAGATTGAGTTTGAACGCATGGCCAATGAGTTGGCAAGGATGCACGAACACATCGAACGTGAAAAGATCGAATGGAAGACAATGGAGCAGGAGAGAGATGTCCTCCGAGCAGAATTGGGACAAATGCGAAGTGGTATGGATACCCAACGTAGGACCATTGACCACCGCACACAGGAAACCATTGTTAAGCTACAACAAGAACTGGCGCAGGTTTCCAGGGAACGAGAAAAGATGGTCTCCATGTTGGACAAACAAGGTCGACAGGGTGACTCTGTCGAAAAGCAGATAGTAAAATACGAAGCGGACATCAAACAGCTAACAACAGAAAGGGATCAACTTGTATTGCAATTAGAAAAATCCCAGGATATGTTGATGAATTTCCAGCAGGAATTAAACCAGTCCGAAGTGGAGTTGGAGAAACAAAAAGCGGAAGTGACAAAGCTCAAGAACGAACAGAAGCGTATGTCGCAAGATGTAGAAAGAGGTACCAAGGAAATGCTGGAGAACCGCGACAGAGAAATTCAAAAACTGCAGCAACAATTACAAGCAATCCAGAAAGAAAGAGATACTCATCGGCAGAGAGCAGACAAAGCAGAGAAACGATTGCAGGAGACAGGCGCGAGAGGGGATAGCGAATTGGAGCAATGGCGTAAGGTCGTCGAACAGGAGACAGCGAGAGCTGACCAGGCAGAGAAAACCGCACAGGATCTCCAGAAACGCATCCAGGTTATGGAGAAACAACTGCAGCAACAATTGCAACAAATGGCGCAGTTCCAACAGAAAGGAATGCAACAAGGCCAGCAACCACCTGCAGTGGACGACAAAGAGGTACAACGGTTAAGAAAAGAATTAGAGAAAGCACAAGCGGATCTCAAGAATTCCGGCACCGAAAAGGAACGTCTGCAAGCACAGCTGGAGATGTTGGTACAAGAACTCGAACGCAACCAGGTAAAACCTGCCGGATATACCAACTATGAGTTCACAATTTGGTTTGCTTTTATAAACTTATTTTTTGCTCAAATTTTCTTGTAGTTTTTCACTAAAATAACCATTTTTAATGATCAATATTTTCTTTCAAGATGGAGTTGATGGAGGCATCGAAAAAAATGCACAACAACGTTGGGGCCAACGCCGCAGTGGGCAAACAGGCTGAAGAGCTAGCAATGGCGAGGAAACAATTCGATGAACAGCGTAGACAATTCGACGAACAACGCAAGCAAGTCGACGCTAAGCATAAGCAGGTGATGGAGAAAGAGAAGCAATTCCAAGCAATGGATCAGGATCTGCGCAATCGCAAAGCACAGATGGATCAGTTAGAGCAGCAGCTTAAGAAGGCCGGTGGTGGTGCTGCAGCTGCCGGTGAATTGAATAAAAAGCTTGCTGCTGCTGAAGAAGCGCTCAAAAAGGCCCAGGAAGATGTAAAACAAAAGGAAAGCGAAATGGAGCGACTTCTGCAAGTGGTACAGATGAGTCAAGAAGAACAAAACTCCAAAGAGAAGACTATAATGGAATTGCAACAGTAAGAATCACAAAATTTTTAACAAAATTAAAAATTTCTATGAAATGTTTTATTTTACAGATCGTTGAAAGCAGCTCAGACGAAACTGAAGTCTCAACAGCAAGTGAATGCACAATTAGAAGAACAAAGAAAGCAGGAGGTATGTAAAACATTTCAAAGTTTAATTAATACTAAACAAATACTAATTATTCTAATATACTAATACGAATGTTTTATTTCTTGAAAATGCTTAGGCTGGACCTGCAGGCTTCCTAAAGAGCTTCTTCTAAAGCCTTCCTACCCTCCAAACAAACCAAAAACAAAATTTAAACCTAAACCAACCATCATCATCCTACTACTGTATGCTATACATATAAAATACCAGATCATATGCATTAACTAAATTTAATTAACTCTAATCATCATGGATAAAGCAAACCAAAAAAAAAAAAACGCTAAAAACTTTAATCTTCTAAGGGAATCACTCACGAAGCGAACAAAAACCACATAATCACTAATCTTCACCTCTCTATTTAAATGCATAAGAACCACTGTATAGTGAAAGCGCATCTTTTGATTCTAACAAATCTAGTGCAATATTGTGTTCGTGTTTTCGTTTTGGTTTCGTTGGTTGTTTTACTTTTATTTGTTTGGACGATTACGGTATCGTTTGCGGTGTACAAAGCAAGAACACACGAGTGATAAGCAAATGGCGGATCGAGTCGCGCAAATGGCGGACGCGCTGAGGGCCAGTTATCAGATCGTCGAGGAGAAGGAACAGGAGTTGAGGAAAGAGCAAGAAAATAGGAGCAAAATACTTGAAAAGGTAATAAGAGTTTAATTTAGTTGTTTTCAAATGGAATACTAAGTGGATTTTTATAGGTGGCAAAATTAGAACAACGTCTTCTATCGTTACAATCAGCCCGGAATCTGAAATGTCATGATTGTCGACCGGTTGTTTTAAAAATGAACGCCTTCGAGGAGAGATTGAAGATATTATTGAATGAAAGAAGGCAACAGATGCAAGAATTAGCAAATATGAAGTAAGTAAATTATTTTTTTCTACTTGCACCCTAAAAGCGCCATTTTTCCAACACAAAAGTGGTACTTTAAATACAGACGGCCAAAGCCGTGACTAAAGTACTTTAACTTTAACTTTTTTCAACTCTCGTGGTTAAAATGCCGTTTAACGCACTTGAGACTTAATATACTAGAATTCCTAAAATTTATATTTTTATTATGTAATGATTAGAAGGGAGGCGTTGGAAGCTGCGATAAGTGAAAAAGATGCCCATCTTGCCCTCTTGGAGATCACAGGAATAAAAACAGCGCAGCAAGATGAGCAACAAGAGCGACTCAAAGTGGATCGACGACGATTAGTTCAACAACTCAAAGAAGAGGTGAGTAAACCAATTTATTACCCAAAAAAAAACATGAAAAATCATAATTTTCCTTTATATACAGAGTGTTCTCAGCGTATCGCCATTAATAGATCAAGATAATCACGAGCACGAAGACTCGACGTGACGTCTGCTGAACGAAGACAATTCTTAAACGAATATTAGTTGATAATTACGCAGGAAAATCACGAGATTCTCAAACAATTCGATTTTGCGACGAAGCACTGCCTAAAAAACCACTCGAACGTTATCTTTATCAATATTGGATTTAACAAACAAACACACACAAAAACACACACTAATAAGCGAAACTGTTGAAAGTGCGTCCTTGTATGTTGTGTAAATTATAAATGTTGACGATTGTTGTTGCCGACATGCAAACAAAAAAAAAACGCAAATAAAGCGAAAAACGCAAACAGTATTCATTTCCGCATGGTGCGTGCAACACACACACGCATTCACGAATAAAAACCCTCTTCACGCTTTCTTCCACGCAACAAAAAAAAAACGAACAAAAAACGGAAAAAGTTTCGCCAGCTTGCTGAACCAAAGGTAAATGTCTACAAATTATGAAAGTTATGAAATTAATTGACAATAAATTACAACTAATATAACCCTTAAAGGACGCAAACAAAAAAACAAGAGAAAAACGTGTGCGATTCGAACAGATTTGCAAGTCGGAAGTCAAAAAGCAAGCGAATGAACACAAACAAAGCAAATAATTTATTAAATGATAAAAGATGATGAAGAAAACCCAAGAAAACAAATGGAAATAGTTATTTCGGTGTATAAAGAGTTAATTAATAATTAAGTCAATACGTACATATATGATATATAAATTATTCTAGAAGAGAAAGCGCTATGTATAAATATAATTGTGTTGAGTTTTGCGATACGTTATCACGACAAACACACCAAAACATCCACAGAAATGTTATTCCATCTTAAAAACATGAAAAACATAAAAAGTGTGTCTGTTGTCTTTAATAATGTGTAAAGAAAAAGCTATTTAAGTACAAATCGTTACCGTTAGCGAAACAAACCAACATCATAAATGTACATTACGCATTCGTATGTTATATATCGAAATATCACTCGCTACACTTGGAAACAGTAAACCAAACAAACGCTAAACTAAAATTATAAACAGTAACGCGAATCATCATATGGCTATTTACGATTTACACGTTTAGAATGAATTACTATTGGACAGATGATGAGAACCGATGCATATAAATGTTTTAATCTTAAGCGGGAATGATAATGCCTTTGTATCATACCGAAAACAGCTCTCAAAAACAAACAAAAAACCAAAGAATACATAAAATGTCGACTTCTTGTACATTCGCATGATTCACACTAGTCATCGTCCTACAGCCGGCGGGAGCAGATGAAAGAATGCTGAACAAGTAGAGAAAACTAAACGAAAATTGATTGGTTGAATAATGAAATATAAATAAAAGTATAAATATGATAATTATTAATGTTATTACGAGTAAGAGTATTATTAAATTGCATTTTTAGCTAAAAACAGATGATCATGCAAATGATGATGGCGAGATGTGTAATAGAGAGGACGATTCATTTCATTTCATTAGGTAATTATTAAATCGTTAAGAGGCTAAAGTGTTGAAACAAAAACAAAAAAAAAACAACCAACAACTAATATTGAAATATTGAAACACCCTACAAGGATGGAGAACAAGTGCACGTGGTCGCAAACTGTCATATCATTAATATCTAATTAAGGGCCGAGCAACACTGCCATCCTCGTGCCATTTCGATTCGAAATATTGTAATTAATTGATATACATATATCTACATGTATTTATTATTATGATTATTATGGATTAATTATAATTATGTAATTGTAATCGAGCTGAGGTGAGACACGAATCCACGAGATACATATTTACACCCACCAAACACACACACACACAATCAATTTATGTCTAATGTACAGTTTTTATTTCTACACACACTTGAGCAGCGGCCATGTTGACAAGACTGGCGCGTTGGCAGAGGGCGTCGCGATCGTTCGCTGAGCTAGTGTAATCATTAATCATGAAAAGTCATATCTTTCTCAAAGTCTAGAAGATTGGCATGCCCTTTGTCAATGGCGCCGCACAAACCGATAAAAAACTGACACACGCAACACTGAAAACGTACAGTCCAACCAGTAGACGACAAACGAGTTCAACTACTCGTGGCAATTGTGTGTAGCTTAGAGAATCTAGCGAATTATACCGAATAAAGACCAAAGCGATGTGCACACACACACACAAAACTCACTTAAACTCTTGTACCTCTTGTACGACTTACTTACTAAACCTTCGACTTTTACATGTTACGAGTTCTATTCGATGACAAATGATGAAAAACGAGCACAAACTTATTATATCGCTGCAAAAACTGTCCGCGCTTCAAGCATCTCTTTCGATCTGTACATTTTCCCTCAGAGCCCACTTCGAACGTACTGTATGTATGTCTAAGGATACGACGACTTAACTTTTCTAATGACTATATTGCTTGCGTAGAAAACTCAAATGAATTTAGCAAAACACACACACACGAAACACACACTTAATCGATTGAGGAACGACACTTTTTTCATAACAAGTAACAAATACGGAGAATGTAAATGTAAGATTTTCAAATCATGCTGAGATTACGAGGCGATGAATGCAAGAAAAGCATTCGCTGGTTGGACACATTTGTGAGGAGATTGCGTGATGGATGCGAAACAGCCCCCAGAAAGTGGAGAAGCATGTAATTAATATACATATTTTAAGATTAATTATTATCTTAGTATTCGATGAAGGTAACACAAGACGAAAAACAAAAACCAAAGCAAACCGAAACAAAGTACACATGAATACCAAGTATATAAGTAAAAGTAACTTAAACTATTAATTAATTTAACGACTAAATAAATACAAATGAAATATGTGAACATATAAGAAATGAAGAAAAAACGCATGTAAGTAAATGTAAACATTTGTTGATTATACATATGATTGACTATTGATAATTAAATGGCAATTAAACTAAATTTACTGAGAGTGTTTTTTTTATGATATTATCATACCAAACACGTAAATATCTCCTTTTACCGTTTGTAAATAATCTCTGTGCAAATAATTGATAATACTTGAATGGGTTATTATTGGGAAGCTTGTTTAGATATTTATGTTGGTCCAATGATGATGAAATATCAATTCAAAAGTACGAAATAAAACTTGAAAAATGTTATATCGTATACTGGAGTTCTGTTTTTTTTATTGTTTTTGATATTTTGAAAAGAATTTAGTCTACTTTTTGGCAGAATGCTAACGAGATTTAATTAAAAAAAAAGTTTTAATATAATTTAATCTATTATTATTTATTTCTCAGAAAATTAATAGATGCTTGGGTAAAACTTATTTTGCAAATCAGTTAATTTTAAATATGCCACCAGAATGCATAAAAAAATAAAAGATTTCCAGACGGTTGCCAATTTTTATACGTACAATAAGATTTTATCTCGTTTAAGTAGTTTCTAGTCATTAATAAAAATGAAGCCAAAACAAAATTCTGATAAAGTCTCGTTGGTTCCAATGATTAGTCATAGCTACATCAAACCTGACCTTTTTTGTGTGAATGGAAGTTCTTATCATCTCATTATTAAATTTTTATTAAAAAAACGAAACCTCATATATTGAATTTTTAGATATTTTAAAAATGCACTCAATAATAAATTAAACAAGATCCTATCTCTACTTTTCTTTAAATGTGGTATTCACATAGTTCCTAAAATAACGTTCGCGATTGTTTGCATAAAGTAGTAGTGTACATACCGATAACCGCATCCGATTTACATTGGTTTCACATATCACTTTTACGTCCTATAGGTGATAAACCGAATATTGAACTGATTAATTCAACAAAGTATCTCGCGCAAGTCACAACTCTCACCACACTTTTCAAGACGCAGTTGAGTCAGTGACATAAACTTCCACTGCATTTCAAATCTCATCCTTAACCTCAAAACCGCTTCTTCATTTAGTTGCCTCTTTAGTTTGTTTAATTGTTATAAAACGTAATTTATTTAAAATGCCTTTAAATAGAGGTGCAATTGTTAAAGTTTTGGAAATAATCAGTGTTGAGAAAGGCCTACAATGCACAGCAACTGAAGCCATGAAAGGAGCAGTCACAGCAGGAGCTTGTGCTTTTGGGGGAGCATTACTTGGAGGTCCTATTGGAATGGGAATAGGTAATACCCATCACTAGTTTATATTATATCAGTTTATATATCTAATTATTACTTATGATGTAAACATTTTCAGGTGGAGCCCTAGGTTCACTTTATGCTGCTGTTCAAAGCAAAGGCAAATTCAAATCAGTGGTGTCTGTGTTACAAGAAATGACTCCACAACAACTTATGCTCTTGGAGAATAACTTCCAAGCAATTTTCCAAGACATCGATGCTACAGACATTGCAGCTGCTGCAACCTTAATCATGAGCAATGGAAACCTGCAGGGTCAAGTTTTGCAACAGCTGGCCCATTTCTTCAAAGAGGAAATGGCTCTCCAGCTTGCCTCATAAGACTTTCTTGTTATTGTATTATCAGATTATATTGTTCATGTGATTTTAAGTTTGTGATTTTAATTTTATTGTAATGCAACATCAAATGACATTGAAAATATTTTATATACAAGATTTTACGATTTATAAGAAGTGATAAAAGGGTAATCTATAATAATAAATCAATGTTTACTTAAGTCATAGTAATTGCACTTATCTACCCATCTTATCCAGGTGATAATTGTGTAATAGTTACATAATTATTGATAAAAAATGTAAAATGTAATTTTTTGAGAAAATTCTAGAAAATTGATAGGAAAACTAATTATAGTTCATGATATAAACCGCAGAGATAAATATTTTCAAACGAAAACAACGGAAATACACAAATTTTACTGAATTTATATTAATTGAAATATAAAATGTGAATGCTGCATTGTGGACATTAAGCTTTATCTCAGACACTTCCCCAGCTGATTCAAGGTGAACCAAACCGACAACAAACCTATACTACTGAATACACACTCAGAAAAAAAAAACAGCATCAACTACGTAATCGACGTAACACTGCAGTTTCCGCATACCCTCAACCAAATCTTCACAAAAAGAGTGATAATGCCGCTTGATCTAATCGGATTCGCCTATGCGGCCACCGTCGCCGCAGGCGGTATAATGGGCTTTTACAAAGCAGGTAAATTCTGCATTTCAAACTTACTATTTAAAAAACTCGATTAAATTAATGTATTATTCAAATAGGTTCTATTCCATCACTCGGTGCTGGTTTATTCTTTGGTGGAGCTTTGGCCTATGGTGCATACCAAGTGACTCAAGACCCAACCAACTACTCTTACCAACTTGCAACCAGCTCTATGCTGGCCGGTGTGATGGGTTACAGATTCTACAATTCAGGGAGAATCATGCCTGCTGGTGTTATTTGTGTGTTGTCATTGGCTATGATAGCACGCATTGTTCTGAACGCTCCCAGTACTGCTATACCTGATAAAAATCTGATGCGAAAAATCTAATCTTGTCATTTAAAGTGCAAGAGGTGATTCTAGCATTTTTCTCTATTTCTTAATATTTCCAATTGGTGATGGTTGCTGTTACTACGAATTACAGTCTAATGTCACCTCACACCTGAAGAGTTTGTAGTCTTCCTACAGTTTTGTTATGTATCTTTTTAAACTATGTAATGCTAGTGAATTTGGCTATCCACAGCAGGTAAATGGTAAAGTTTTGTGGGTGCTGGTATTTTGTCTTACTCTTCAAAGTACAAAGAGAATGAGCTATATTAAATGATGATCAAATGTTCAATAAATGAACTAATCAGGAAAATATTTTGAGTGTTTGATTTTACTGTAGACAATCACATTATTTGTTACATATTCCCCTATTGTATATTATAATGGTTTTAATTTTGTATGTGTTGTGAAATTTTTATTTTATTAACATATTTTGCACCGTTAGTAACTGACATGTTTCACAATATGTGCAAAATGAAAAACAGTATAACAATTACATTATTATTATCCTACAATTCAATCCACCTACCTTCTAATGAAATGAAGTTTTCCCGAAGCCTCAGGTAGGTAGAATTGCACAAAATCACTAATTTACTAACGGAAAAACGTGTTTTACTTCTAACTTAACGGCCATATTGTTTTACTTCTGCTTCCGTTAAATGCCGTACTGTAGGTTGCCTACGTTAAAATTCATCATCACATTTTTCTATGTGACATTAACACAAACTTGTACTAATTATGACAAATATTTACATTATGCTTAGGTTTATGAGATTAGATGGATTGAAATTTGTGCATTTCAAAATAAATTTAGGACAAATTCACTACAATGATGTGTGAATTGCCTCTTACAATATTGTTGGTGTGAATAAGGCTTTCAAACAGTGTGTCAAAATTCATATTTTTGACTACAGATGGCGCTACCAATACCAGAATTTGATATTTTGTGTTTTGTAAACATAATATTACATTTTTTATAGTTTTGAAATATGTTTCCCATTATTAGCAAATACCGCACATTGTTTATTTTATGTCCGCGTGCAATTAGCGCAATTACATACTCTCATCTCGTCATGACAATCCGAGCAATTTCAATAATGCGTTTCGTTCGTTTTTACTTGTTCAGCTCGCTGTTTATGCTGGCGGCGCATTTTTGCTCGCCTTTTTCTTCACAATAATTCCGCGCGCGGCGTGATGTAACACAATGAAAGTGCGCGCAACGGCGTAAATGAACCGTGCTGCGCGCTGGCCGATTGTCGATATTACGAACGTTACAAATTTCTTTTTTCATTTCATGCGCTAGCATAATTGCACAAAAACGCCGCACACATCAAGCTCGCGCAACGAAATCTAACAAAAGAAATCACTTACGTGAGGAAAAATGAAACGAAACGAAAAGTTAAACACGGCGAACGCGCACAAAAAGACAAATACTTCTTTGTAGTAAATCAAATATAGAAAATTAGCGCCAACTTCAACGGCAACGTTTTTGTTTGCAGATATAAACAAATCGTTGTGGATAATTCTTTGGTTTCGAATTCCTACGTAATCGTTACATCTGATTCTATGAATATAGTTGTAGTGTCCTTACATGACACTAGAATAATAGATTAATTTAAGAGTTGTAATTATTTATTAATAACTTAACAACAAATTAAGTTACACGAATAATTTTTGCACCAATTTGTAGAGAATTTAATTCTGCATATTTTGATATAAAATCATATTTTTCACAATATTCAATAAAAAGTTATAGATCAATTTAAAAAAAATGTACAAAATTTTTCAAAATCAATATTAATTGTTAATAACTTTTTGTACAATAATCACAACAAGTCTTTCTTGGTGTCATTAGAAGCAGAATTTAATATTTTATATAAAAATCAAAAGATAAAAGTTTTAACGTAAAAAGTTCATGAGTTATTAACAAAAAACTAAATTTTTATTCATGTTTACGCTATGTTCGTAAATAATTTGTTGTCGTTACATCAATCAACTCTAACAACACTCAAACGCTTTGAAGGTTTATTCAATTGTTATCCATATCCAACAATCAACATATAACCGAGATGAACAATTCCGATAACGTGTTAAACTTATAAATATTCATCCGTGTACACTCCTCTTAACACATCGCAAACATTCACTTGAAAAAAAGGAAGTAAAGGAAGGAAACGACGCAAACAAATGTTGTTTTCATTTGTTCATCGTGTTTGCGTCTTTTCGGCGTGTGTGGCAATGCGATGACAATGAGAAAATGACCTTAACTCTTCGCGTCTTCGCACTTCGTACGTGTTTTATTGGCAAGCGGTGTGTGAATCGTGCGCATTGCGAGATAAATAATGTGGTAATGCTCGCAAATGAGAATGAACGACCGGAATTCACTCGTAAATTATTACAGTATGAGTGTACGAGTATGTGTTTTATTTTTTTCCAAGCTTGCAGTGCACAAATGAGAAATAATGCAATAAAATAAACGCGAAGAAACAACAGGAAAATGTTACACACGTTTTGTACGCGCACTTGTACTAGTTGTACTTGTTTCAATGGTGTTGTAAATTATTCTTTATGTCGTTTGGCGTGTTTTCGTACGTAAAAAGTCACAGTTTTACGTTGCGGAATTGCACTTGGATGGGACATGACAGGGGACATGCGTTTTCTTGTTTACATCGAGTGAACAAGGCTAAAACAATCAAAAAAACATCGTGTTGGGATTATTTTTTGGGTAAAAATTACAAACTAAAAATGAAATGACTTATATTAATGCATATTTGCATGAGTTTTGTGAAATACACTTGAATGTTAACAAATTGCGTTGAAAATAGCATTTGTACGTTTTTAAATTTTTTTATAAAAGTTTAATTTTGTAATAATTGTAATGTAATCTTCTATCTTCTATATATATATATATATATATATATAATGAATTGCTGTTCGTTAGTCTCGCTAAAACTCGAGAACGGCTGAACGGATTTATCTTATCTTGGTCTTGAATTATTCGTGGAGGTCTAGGGAAGGTTTAAAAGGTGAGAAAAATTCGAATAATTGCCGGGAAAATCCTCAAAACAGCTCTTTTCTATAGAATAAAATTTGACATTGAGATTCAATCATAGTTATAGTTAAATAGTTGAATTCGGCGCGCTGAAGTGCATTATTGACAAAACTTTATATGCATAATTTCTTTAAATTAAAATTGCTAATCTTATTGATAGAATTGACTCTTACTACGAGTATGTCTAGAACAAGAGAGTAAAAACGAATTACATTTTTATTAAACACTGCCGGAACGAAGTCGCGGGCAACAGCTAGTTTTTAATATATTTTAGGTTTATGATAAACTTCAGCTACAAATATTAACTTTTTAATTTACGTGTAAAATGTAAGAAATAAATAAAATCGTGGGTATGTTCATTCATTACATAACAAAATGTAATTAGTTTAGTAAAAATACTAAATGTGCTAATTGTTCAAAAGTTTACATTTGCGCAATTGGTCAAAAACGTTTCGTTTTATTTAAATTCAAATTTCCACACAACCAATATTATTGTAAACTTTTCGCGTCTTTCACTAGGCAATTATTTAAACTATTTAGGTTTATTATATTCATTAAAATAAAATGTTTTTCTTTATTTGCGACTTTTTATGCAAAAACTTGTAATTAAAATTTAATATTAATTATTAAAGATAAATTGAATGTTTCTAATTGATTTTAAATTTAATATTTATGTTGCAGTTTTGCAATAGATTAATTCCCGCCCGTCCTCGAGCGATTTTGCTCACAGCTTGCGTTTTGCGGCTGCGTTTCAATAAAATCCATCACGTCTCGGGGTCGCCCTCGGCGCGCGATTATTAAACAAATAAACTCATCTCTGCGCCAGCGCCATTAAAATGTTGAATGTAGAGATAATCATCTCGACGCAATAAAACATCATCGGACAGATCCACACATCCACACAACATTTGTGCCCGCGACGGTTCAAGAACATTCAATAAAACATTCGAATATTTCGAGATATCGAGATTTCCGATCCGATCGGACGAGCCATCTTTATCTAATAAAAGATAAGTCATCATTTGATGATGATGATGAATCAAATCATCGATAATTTCACGAACGTCAACAAATCGCGGAGGAGGCTGGTGCAAGTGCCAAGTGTGCGTGTTTTTTTTTTATTCGGAGAGTTCTGTGTGTCTTTGGGTCAGGGTTAGGCTAAGCTCGAATCGATATCGGTCTGAGGTCGCCGATCGGACTTCCATCTTCCACCTTCATTTGCATGCGAATTCATCAACATCTGTATCTCGATTTGTAATAGGTAATGGGTATTTTTAACATTCGATTCGATTATACATTGGCTAAGATAAAAAAAAAACACAGACACACACACAACACAACACTAGATGAGACGCCTCTTTCATGTAATGTTGTTGTAATTAATTGTAGGAGTTAATAAATAATTGGCAGTAACAGCAGAGGTTTGTAATTAATACAAAATGATCATTATGAGAGATTTGTGTGAATTTGATATATCAATTAATTGATGTACATAATTATTAAATGAATGTTTACATTCCATTAGCATTTAACACTTGTAGGAGGTGATATTTTGCTTAAATAATTTTTTTTATAAATGAATTTTTGATAATTTCTTAGTTTTTATCTTTAAAAAGTGATATTTTGTAAGCAACTTTCAATTATTTTATTTTTAGTTGTCAAGTTTGGCGGAGAGACGGCGACTTATGAAATATTGACAATATTTGGTCAATCAAACAAAGCTGTGTTAGTTACATCAATTATAACTCATGAACGGTTGGACAAATTTTAATGATCTATAATTTTTCGGGTTTGCCTCGACCACGAATAGCAGAATAACAATTAAAATATTTAAAACTAGCTTTAACCCGCGGCTTCGCTCGCGAATATCTAAACTAATGAAGTTGCTTCCGTACGCGTCTGTAGTCACAGAAGAAGTAACAATGAAGTAGAATGGCGGGAAGTTTAAAATGGCTGAAAGTATAGTCTATGGAAGTATAGTGTACAGTCTCCATAGTGTAGTCAATTGGATTTGATGTTGACGTAGCTGTCGGTAATACAGTGTGATAATACAGTGTGATGGTACTATAGTACTTAGGTTTGAGCTTCATTGCTGGAATGCTAGATGGCGTTAAAGTAGTCAAATAGCCAGATGCAGAGGTATTATTGGCTAAACAATTTCTTTATTTTGTTTAAAAAATATTTTTTTTTATTAAATAAAAAGTAGCCTATAACCATTCGGGGACCACTAAGAATATGTGTACAAATTTTAATGATGATCG